TAGGATAGTATGATAATTTGGAGATATTATAAAAGTTTTTAAGACATTTAAAAAAATGAAAGAAAAAAGCAGTAATTTCACATGGGATGAAATTGAATGACGAATAAACCACTGCCAGAAGATTTCTAGAAAATCCGACTCACATGAAAAAGACGAATAAGCTACAGGTCCGCATTACCTGATCTCATTCCACTTACATACCCATATGGTTGGAATTCGTCGTCACGACCTAATGAAGATCTTCGCAGTTCAGGGGTTGCACTGAAGAGATCGGGATAGTGCTCTACCTCATTTGGCCGTGGTCTTAAAATGAGGATAGTTACTAAGAAAAATCTTAAAAGCCGCCGTTGTTTTTTATAGTATAAAAAGTATAGTGATGGTAGGTTCTTTGCTACGTAACTTCTCTAGGTAGGAATAAGATAGCTTATAAATGAAGTAAAAAACACTAACTAAAATAACTTCGGCATAAAATTTTTGCTACTAACTGCAACTCACTGCAAAAATGTAGGTGAGTGTATGTCTAAAAGAACGAAGGTATCTATTCAACACTTTGCGCAATGAAATAGCTAAAGGAAATTACTTTACCGCAACGATGCTGAGATATAACTTCGAAGATACTGAGATATTTGCAAAACTCCGGACCGTACGTGTCTGCGGTGGGGAACGAGCGCGCTATTGCCCTTTCCGGGGAGTAACGCGTTCACCACCACACCATGCGGGTCCTTCGTTTCGCCTGTTTCTCGGCCAGTTCTATCGATCTTTGCCATGAGCAATCACCCACCGGCGTGATTGGTCTGGGGAGCCCAAATCGGCAAAGAACCCAGTTAAGCTGAGGCTGTAGTTATAATCACAATTTTGATGGCAAAGATCGATAGAACGAGCTGAGAGAGAGGCGAAGCGAAGGACTCGCATGGTGTGGTGATGAACGCGTTACCCCTTGGAAAGGACAATAGCGTATTCGTTTCTCACCGCAGACACCTACTATCTGGGGTTTTGCAAATATCTCACCATCATTGAAGTTATATTTTGCAATATGCCCTGCCATTAAAAAGAATAGGTAGTAAATAATAAACTGAAAGTGTGATGCTGAGATTATCACAAAACTCTGACCCTAGGCCAGATCGAACTACAATTCCCCTTTCTGTTTGTTGAAGGTCGAGACGACTAAATTATTCTACTCCTAAATTTTTTACCAGATTTATGTCAGATTTTAGCTCCAGGCGCTACCTGTTCAGCGATGGTATACGATGAATGGAGTACAAGTCTTCCTCATGGTCATTGGCAGGAATAACAGATATCTGAACGAACTACTGTAGAGACAAGAGTAGTGGAAACTTAGACTGCTATATAAAGGCGAAAAGAAGTAAAGAAAGGATGCCGTAGTTCTCTGTTGTCGTGACGCGTTAGACGACACTCCGGTCACAGTCTTCGGAAAAAGGTTTGCAACATTGAGTGAGGTTCTTCTGTTTGATTTCACCCCTAAATAGAGATGTATCACCTAGAGAAACAGAAAGGCATAAGCGACGTAAACAGTTATCGAAACGACTTTAACACTTTCAGGAGGGCATTCAATAATGTTAAAGTAGCACGTGTTCCGACAGATCTTCAGACCAATTTGTCGTCATTACTGTAATATTTCGAAAATTCAGGGTGAAATCGCTGTAATATGTGTATTGTATTCAGTGATCTGTATAATTTCATGAGTCTAAGCCAGTTGAGTGCAGTACTATGTGATACGTTCTCGAGTTGTTCATCAGGAGTTGAATGACTACCAAAGCGGCCATGTATTTCAGACGCAGCGAATGCAAACTTCAAGTGCTGCGTCAGGATTGTGTACTTCTTCTGTATACACTTAATAACTCAATATGCACTTGTGTATTCAGATTGTACTCTGCACAGTGATGAGCTCGAAAACTGTAATCTCGTTGCAAAGCAAAACAAAGTCGATTCGTTGTAAACTTGAGGAGGCAAGCTTTACAGCCTTTCATCTTTAGTGATCTATACATCTGTGACCAAGCACAGCCGGATCACAAATACTGGCATACATTCCTAAAAGAGCAAAATGGAAAGGATTCGTTAGTTTTAGCGCAAAGCAACAAGTGGGTTATTGTGTACAGTAAGTAAAATGTGCAGAGAGGACGATGCTTTCTGCAAACATTTCAAGATTTGCGGAATCTCGAAAGACACTGTAGGCCACCAATGCTTGTAACACTTCATTAAAAATTCAATGGAGATATTATGGTTGACAGTAATAAGGGTTAAAAACGAAGTTGTCGCATTGGTCGAAGAACAATGAAGCAGTTACCTAAGCACTTTTGTGATGCTGCAGAATAATTGGAGCATACGGCAGTAGAAGTGTGAGCGAAGCTGGTGTTCTTGTTTCAAACCTCAGAGAAAAAGAAATTGTAGCGTTTTCGACGATTTTATGAGGATTCAACAAAATGATCAGTTATATACATATATATATATATATATATATATACAATATATGTATATATACGTGTGATCTTTTTTGATCCATATATACATATATACATGTATACATATAAACATATATATATATACATATATATATTTCACCAACATATTGGTAAAAGTAGTCGCAAGCGAACATCTCAAGATCTCTAATCAAGAGCCCCGAACCAAATGAACAATATCATTTTGGTGTCTCACAATCCTCCATGGGAAGACTAGAAGTGTGACTCTAACACTAGAGAACACAGACCTTAGCTGGAAATCGGCCACATCACTGCAAATCAAGAATTTTGAATACAATCGACAAGAATATTGCTACAGATTATGCGGAATATCAGAAAACGGAATCTTTCCGACAAGATTCTGTCTCCGTAAAAAGCAAAGCGGCCCGATATAACAAATGAAAAAAATTCTAAATCAGTCATGGAATGGTAATTGCTTCATCAGGCGGCTATTGGTTGGAAAGATGCCATTTTTAAAAACATCGGTGAATAATAATACTCTCCCATCAAGCACCTGCGCGAAAGTGTTAAAATTCCCAGGTATAAAAAGAGTTTTAATACCTCCAAAACGCCCCTAACTCCAGGAAACAGTGGAAGCAGTCTGCTAAGAAGTTTGGTCTCCATAGCAGTAATTAGTAATTTACATTTGAGGTTACTAGCCTAACACAGCAACAATGAAACAGGGTTAGACGACAGAATGGAAATGGCACTGAGTGAGGATGAAGTTTATAAAAGCATGCTAGTCGCTCTCCGTAGATTCGGTGAAGACCTATTACTAAGGCGGCACCGAAAAGATAAAATCATCTGCACTGCATTGGTTGTCCTGCGTGCAAAGACGACTGAGGAGAAGCCCCATTCAGATGAAAGAAATGTCAAGTGCTCAATACCACTGAAGCTAAGATCGGATTCGCTCAAGAAACATTTTGAATAAAAATATGAAGTTCTTGTGAGCGAATGGAGGCTTAATTGATGTCGACACAAGTTTATCGACGACAAAAAAGAGACTATATGATAAAAGGTTTCGTGGAAACAAGCATCTATACAACAGCAAACTAGACAGGAAGGACGGGTAGCGCAGTGGTAATGATGCTGATCATCAAGAGCACGGTGTTTGTTTGACTCCGTCCCCACCAATCCTCAGCCCTCCGAGGTAGAAAAATTGGTACCAAGTTTGTTTGGCAAAACTTCATTTTCTGCAATCCAGGTTTGAACGCTCCTTCCCAGCTGCTAAGTGCGAACGGATGGCGAGGAGTACCGAATCAATCAGCATTCAACGACATTCGTGACGAAAAGGAGAAAATCCTCTAACAGCAATCGAAACCACACATGAAAAGTTCGTAGCCCATCGTGGCTGATGAATACGAGAAAACGAATCGAATTCAAGAGGTGTTGGGATCCCGATAGTAGATGTGAAAGACGGCTCCGTAAGGTAGAAATGAAAGTAAAATGGTACGTTAGTGTATTTATTTCGATTCAGCGTTGGATGGAAAGTCTCTAACAAGATCATTACCGTCCTTTAGCATGCAAGGTATCGTCGCATGCCAGAGAGGGGCAGTAAAAACTGTTACTAAAAATCGAAAAAATTAGTCACAAGTTGTTATTCACGAGACAGAATAACTCTGTATTGTAACAAGTTCGTAGCTGGGCTTCCAGATGTAGATGTGGCACTTTTCAGGTTTAAAAACGACTTTGTGTGATTAATCTCCATTGTACATCACAGGTCTCCCGCTTTAATATGCTTTACACCCTAGGCTGCAATGAAGCCAATTATGGAGGTGAAACCAGAACCTTTTAATAAATTGGATTTTTCCTTGATTCGACGACAAGCTCCGCATAGGAGAGGACAGTAGTCCTTTAGCATGGTGTCGCATTCAGCCTTCCTCGTCTCACGGCACGACACAAAGTGTGAGTCAAAACAGAACGCTGGAATCACAATTCAAGAAAATCACAACTTACTTTTCATCTGTATCTCACCCAATAGCAAAGCCTTAGACATTTTTAAAATCGTTAAATTAGAAAAAGGCTTAAAAAGATAGTAGAAGCGGAAAGCTTACTGATTACGGCACTCTGAGCAATTAAATAGCTAATTTATAAATCCTCTCAACGGTTTACCGCCTCAGCATGGCTCGGAGGTGTTGCTGGGTGTTGGGCTGCGATGTACAGCGAGGAATTCATCTCCTGCCAGGGTCGCTCAAGCTGAGAAGGAGTCCGGGGTTTCCATCAGGAAGCCTAGCTGAGAGTAAACCAATACCAGGATCCACCAGCGTCCTGGTATCAAGGTCGTATGGTGAAAAATCTCTGATCCACAAGGGTGCCTGTCGTGGTGACGACCTGGGGCAGACTTTGGCCAGGCTGACCTCGGGACTCCAGGGAAACACCATGGTTAAACTAGCAAAACACCGAAAAATGGAGGTTATGCTGGGGCCCGCACAACCAATGAGGGGGGCTATTCAAGTATCAGTTGTCGAGTAAGTATTTATAAATTGCTCTCTCTTAACTGCCTGTTTGCTTTAGTGATCATAAAATCGGTCGCCCACAACTTCATTAAAATCTAAGTGTCCTACTCGCTTATGACAAAAATGGCGTCCGTTCTTTCTGTGTTGCCGTTTTTCTCCCACATTCAATAGCTGAAATATAATCTATCAAAGAAAAACAGTGGTTTTACTCACTTTCGCAATTTCCACAAGTTTTCCTACAATATTCCAAAGCATAGCCTGGACGAACCGTGCAGTCATTAGTGCTACAATACGGACTTTTGTCGACACAGTCAATAAATGCAATTACAAATCTAAACATCAGAGGCCAAGCCGGAAGCAGATGCATGTTGAGAAAAGGTGCCGGCCTCCTAATGACGATAACGGCCATGGCAGAGTGGAATACCCTGAAACAGAAGAAACGTTGAGACGGAAACCTAAGAGTGACATTTCGTGCTGCATCGATAAGCTCTCACGAAGGTGTTATAAATTTCTACTGCCGCGTAAACGTTTCGATTCCCTCACTTCTTATCGAGCCGATTCGAGCGGTGTTCCACTTTAATAGATTTTACTCGATTCCAGTAGGAAAACCATCTGGCATGGAAAAACATGGAGTGCATAGTTGAGTCATTGCAGCTCTGAAGAAGGCGAGGAGCCGAACCGTATCACGACAAAAATTTATGTAATAATCTCGTATAAGCTCAGCAATACAAAAAATATCAAGTATTCACAGCTAGGTAAACCAAAGTCGGCTTTGTAAGAGGACTGACAGGTAATGAGGTGGATGTGGAGAGAGTGAAACAGGAGCTGTGCGAAATGCGATAACCTCAACCCATCGATAGTTGTTTGGAGTGTCGTCAAGTGCTTACGGTGACATCACTTCAACCGTCCATTTCGACGCTCTTCCATTTAGCATCTCACTATTCCAAGCAATCCAAACAAGATTCAGTATTAGGCGTTCCACCAAGCTTTTTAAAGCTATAATAGAATAAAATAAGACGGCTTTCGAAACAAGTGTTTTGGCACCTACTGTAATAGAGGCCTCTTCGAAATACTACTGCATCAGTGATATTCTTTTAGTATGGCCCTCATGCTTCGGATTTTGTAAATAAGAAATTTGGCGAAAAAATTGGAAAAGAAAATGCTCGTAAGCAATTTCTACTGATTTTCTTTTCCTAACATGGCATGTATAAAAGGCGAAGCGTGTGTAGCGCAGTGGTCAGAGGTGCACTGTAATAGCATTGGATCGATCCCATGCTGAAGGCTCACTAAGCCTTCCATTCCTCCGGAGTCCGGAAAGTGGTACCAGACTTCTCTGGGAGGATAGAAGCACTGGCTTGATATATCGGTAGACCACTGTGACTAATTGTAAAGACAAGACGTGCATTTAATCACCACAATGAAAATGCTTAATGAAGTCGAATGCACTGCGCATCCCTTAGGCAGTGATCAACACCGAGAGCTTTATCTTTTATTCTTTTAACATGGAGTATCAAAAGACTCATATTTGAATTACCTTCCTGCTGCAGTTGTGCGGACTCCATTACGTAATTCATTCGTTTGAAACCACCCGACCACAATTCATGGTGGTGGTCAGTTACAAGCATTATACTTCGTGTTCACTCTCGTTTATATCGTCTGCATGGTTTTTTCTTTTATTAACGCATTACCAGCGCATGTGTTTCATTTCTAGGGACAGGAATCTGGAATGATGATTCTTGTAACACAGGGCTTGTATCGTGTTCTTGGAAGATGACAACGTTTTCGGAGGTGGCGCTTGTCGATGTCGAGTCGAGTGGCTCTACCGCTGGCGTTTCAAGTAGGCACTTTATACTTTCCAATGCAACAACAAGTTTGTAGAATATTCTTTTTGCGATCAGTCGCCCCAGATGAAAAGACACAATTGGCTCTAACGAAATATTACACTCATTACTGAGCAGAGTAGCATTTGATGACACCAAATTTCTTATTAATCGAGCCTGATGGCACAGTTTCGCTAGGGAAGATTTTGCGATCTGGCTAAACTTACGAGCAAAAGATGGGTGTGCTACAAGTTGTAACGCGAACATTTAGGGATAGCACTTTTTCCAGGAATGATAAAGGTTCCATCGTTTAACTGGAGGTTGATGGCAATCTTGTTACTGGTATGCAGTTGACGATTAAACAAAAAGTGTCGTACGACGTTGGAAAACAGCGTGGAGGTAGATGTCAAAAGAGACTTGGGTGGTGTATTACATGGGAAAAAGCAGTCACGCCTATCGTAGAAGTGCCATTTTGGAGTATTTCCAACGGCACCATTTACAGTGTGAAGTTTGGTTACCTGTCACTAATAATTGGTAGTTCCGCTGCAGTGCATTACAGATGAGAACCAAACCTCCATTTTGTGCCGTTATGAGGCTAATTGATTGAAAACTTACCCATTTCGACCTTCGAATCTCGAAACAAGCTTTTTGAGGCGTACCCAAGACATTACCACCTCCTACACTATCGACAACAAGGAGGCTTCCACCTTGTAACCAGCGTTTTTCTGGAAATTAAGCAACCACTAGTATTGGCTCTTTTGCTGGTTTTAGAGATCGAAATATCAAACCATTTCTCCAGTGTGGGAGTCGATTATGATGGGATCAAGATTTTAGTGTTCGCACAGGAATGTCGTATCATGTAGAAATTCCGAATCCGACAATAACGTTGTAAACGATTGAGTAGACCCAAAATATGCATGAACGTATTTAAAACGAATTTTTAAGATAAGAAATAAACAGAGGAGAATGAGGTTCGGTTTAGCTAGCAAACTACGCGCGTACAAAGTTGTTCGAAATAGCAACGTTGTTCCGTTTTTTGTTTTTCATTTCATAAGCGTTTCAATTTTATCTTGCTCAGAACACTTTCCCTAACTTCTAAAGATCTCCTTCTTAAATGCTTGAAAGTTTGAAGATTCAGAAAATCCTAGAAGTCTGGCAGCAACTTTAAAATATCTCATCGCTCTACTCTTATTGTTGCTGTTATTCTTGTTGTTGTTATCGTTGTTGCTGTTGTTACTCCCGTGGTTGGATTGGTTAATGTTGAAGTGTCAATGAGTTGCTTATTTATATGATCTTATAAACTGATCTCTCGTAACATTCCACTTGTAACATCACGGCTCTGTGGAAGGTGAAATCACAGAAACAACAGCCATCGACCAACAACACCAACAACAACGACAACGACAACGAAAACCTATACCAACCTCGCACCACTTAAAGAAGATCAGTTTATAAAATCATACTAACAAATATACCAACTATCTATGGCGAGGTTTACAGAAAGTCGGTCTTTTGTGTGCCAATGAACTGTTCGTTCATAAGGTGCGTGCCGTCTCATATGTAGAGGAAACTTGGTGTAGGTGTAGTGTTCCGCCACCGATGGCTAGAGAATGGCCGGATTTCTACGCTCTCCCTTATTCCACGATAATTTCTTGCTGTGCATGTTGCGCTTAGTATTTTCCAATAATAGCTGTCATGTTTGACTCAAACCATCCGATCGCTAGCAAGCTACCTCTATTACTTTTTACCTTCATTTTACAAAGAGGAACATGAAACAAGTGTCGCTCATAGTCTTAGTGAGAATTCTAGTGTGATATGAAATTCTTCTGAAAATACAAACTAACTCCATTTTCAATTGTTTTGCTGTATATTACACGTTGAACTAGCAAGTAATATTGTTACTTCAAGGCTTAATTATCACAGATGAGAGTTGTATATTGCTGATATTCAAATTGAAATTAATCTTAATCATTTAGAAAAGAGAGGTTCCGTTGGCGAGGACTAGAAGAACAGGATCGGAGACTAAATGTGATCTTGTAACAAAATTCAAAGGGCTAAGAAGGGGTATATACCTGAGTTCTGTTCAAATTGCTTACCCGGATGTTATATTATGGCTTTATTGTCTGAACTCTTCTACTGAGTCCAGTATGTGTTAGAAAACACTGGCCCAAAAGTGCGCTAAGTTCCAGAAATGCCGTGTGTACTCTTTCTGTTATACTGTGTTCTTCTGAAAATTCAGGCTGGTATATTCACGAATATGTTTAGTCCGCGTCTGATTTGAGCTGATAGTTGTTTACTTCTTTATGTTGTTTCAAGTAGAGAACCTTTAAAACATTTTTTCGTTATACGTTGATAGATGAAGCTATTGAAAGATGAGTTTACAGCATGCTAGCGTTCTTAGATTTTTTTTTCTTCTTTGCTTTGATATAAATACGGCTAAGCTGTGTATGTTGTGATGTTAAATTTTATGCTAAGTCTCTTGTTCCCAACCGTTGACAGTTTACACGTAATTTAGGAGTGGGGAGAAAATGCTGAGAGGGTATCCTGGTTCAAACAGATGTGCTAGCACTATTTGTTCCGCTATTGGTTACTCTATCAGTCTAACCATTAAAATATAGTGGAGAAAGTGTGCGATATTTCTTTTGCATACTGCGCCTTATTTTTTGTGCTATTCTCTGTTATTAACTAGGCAGCTGTTGTAGTAGAACGCTTGGAATAAAATCGTGGCCAGGAATAGAGACGTTTCTCGGAATTGACCATATTTGGTTCTCCTTCACCGTGTCCTCACAGTGATGGATGGGTCATTCCCGTTTGTTTGAGCTACTCTTTCGAGCCGTTTCTTATCACGAGTCCACCAAACCGACGCTCAAACACGAACACTGTTCCGAGAGCACAAAGAGACATTGTCTAAAAATATAGTCGAAAAGAGAGTTCATTGTTTTATCTAGGTGCTGTTACAATCCTTTTGTCCTTTCATCACCAATATTCATTGCGCTAAAAATTTACTTGTCAGTTGCTCGAACTTAGAGGTGGGTGTCCAAATTTAGACTAGCCCAACACTCAGAACGTTGCTTTTTCAGACCGAAAGATAAATCGTAAATGTTTTCCAACATATCTATAACTTTCCATCTTTTAGACTGCAAGAGGTAATGTTTGTGCTAGTTAGTTGCTATGTTGGTAAAAAAACCACATTATTTAAATCATCTCAAAAATCATAGATTATCACCCTGTCGTAAACGCCAGTTCTTTTTTGTTTCTTTCGTTAGAGAGCTGCAAATTGAGTGGGCAAGAGTAATCGTTAATATTTGTATGAAGGTATTCGATCTGTTGCAGTCCTAGTCCAAACCGTCGACGAATTCTTAGACTAATCGTGCTGGTTCCAAAGTTGGTTGCACCGACACTGGAATCTATTACATTTCGGTTATTCTTTTTTGACTGCTCGATGTAGCTGGAAAGGGGGTCTCAGTCATCTTGGTGCGCATGTTGCTTGCCTTTTCTATTGTGAAAAGCTGAAAACGACTACAGAGGATAAACTTGAAAAAATCTAGTGTCTTCATTGATGGAACAAATCGGTTATGAATTGCGAGAATTGACAAGTTCTCAGCAACGGGGAAGAGAGCTTGAGGCAAGGTTGGTTGCTAATTTTAACGCACTCATGTGGAACGGAACCATTCTTCTATTTATTCCATGCAGGACCAAAAGGTACTGTGACGACGCCTATAAACAGGTGTTTTCTTTTCCAGTTAAAGTGAAGCGATTGTTAAAGTGAGGAATGTATCACCTCTCCTTCCATTAATTGGCGGCTAGCTCGACAAGTGGAACCGGGAAGGGTCTTCATCCATCCTTCTCGTGTACCAATAGCTTAATGGGTTGACCTTACCGGAAATACACGGTGATGCTAAGTACTTCGCTTAAACACGTTGTTAAGGAATCTAGCTAGAGCGTTGGTGAGCGGCCTACAAGATGTTTGACGCGACCTGCAACTCATTCGCTGACAACTCTTGTCCAGAAACCGTTGCTAAGGTGCATTACGTGTTCGGGCCACCTAATTTTTAACACCGACTACGTAATCAGCATATTTTCTGTGCTTTAATGAATGTGGCTCATTAGTCATATAAAAATTTTTATGGAGTGGAGGTTAAGCTCAACTGCTAGCAATTATATTTAATACTTTGAAGAGGACTTCTCTAGAATATATATCAAAACTGAAAGCGCACTCACAGGTCTCCTATTCCATTTAAGCATATGAGTGAAATTGAGCTATAAAAAAAATTAGGCTTATTTTTTTGTCTCGGTCTTGCCAAATATAGCCGGCTCGTCGAGCTTAAAATAGTAGCATTTGCTCTCACTCTCCACGGATTCTTCACAGAAGTCAATCGTCGCTCCACCTTCAAGTGAGAGCTGAGTGAGAGCTCTGGTTAAGATTTCGACCAGCCACTTTCGGCGTTGTTTCTTTCTACATTCTTTCCACATGCAAGAATGCTTTTATTATTGAACGTTTATTCCTAACTTTGTTTTTTTATTAACTAAAATATTTCTCTTTCTCTAGGTCATTTATGCGTCAGTGTCGTTAAATTCCACCTTTATTTGTAATATTCTGCAACTCCTGTCACTACAAGAACGCTTGAGACGTTGGAATGTTGTTCATATTTGAATTGGTTAGATTCCTTTAAGAAAGAGGAATTTTGATGAGAGTTGCTTCCATTTGTCAGAATCGCTTCGTAACACATACCCACCTCGTTTCTCGAGCTACTGAATCGAACGTATCTCTTCTCTTAACCCATGCATTCCCTTCAAATGTCTCATAGCCGTTCTTAATCATAGTGAACTAAATCGGCCGCATAGTAGCCTTTTTTATGTGAGTGAGAACTTGAATATTAAGAAGTTCGGAAGCTGTTTAGATGAACCACCTACTAGTGCTCTTGGCCACATGGGTTGCGGATGTTTACTCGCTTAGCGATCTTCTGGTTCAAGGCCGACCTGATACACTTAAAATGCTAAAGGAAGTCTTAGCCAAGGATGACGTGAACGTGTAAGCCGATGATTTATTCGAAAAACAAATACATGTAGTAGCCTACGTGAGGAGGCCGAACCAACCGCATTTGTGAAATAAATATTCTTTTAAGGAAAAGGCAAATGTACCACTTTCTTGTTTATTTTTTTTCTTATGCATTACCCTAGAAATAGATTACTACTTAAGTTAGACAATAGAAATAAAGCCTTTTTACCTACGTCAAATGACTGGCATTCAACTGTTTCATAAAAGAATCCTGTTGCACGGGAGAACAACCACTGCTTTAGGTGAGTGGAGCTCTATTTCGTCACCGTTGTTGTTCAAACCATGACGATTGAATTATTATGAATACTTGGCCAAGGGCGCGTGTGGCGCAATAGTTGGAGGCGCCTCTGTGACACGAACTCGGAGCCCATCTCCGCGCGCATGGCCCACCAAGTTTTCCATCTCTACGTGGTCGGCAAATTGGTACCAGACTTGTCTGGGAGGATAGTAGCAGCACTGGATGGATACACTGGTAGGCCACCGCGAGTCATTGTAAAGCCCAGAGATGGATTCAATCATCACCAAACGATGCTTAATGTCGAATGCATGGCGCATCCTCAAGGATTGACCAACGCCGAGAGCTTTATCCTTTTTATCCCTTTTTTATTTCGCCTTTAAGCACTCCTTTTAGTCCAAACTTCGTTAGTTTTTATACATCCGCAAATAGTGCAGTTAGAGTTAGTTAGTGCAGTTAGTGCAGTTTTATAGTCGACTAGCGATTAGTGTACGGTGAGGTCGCCTGCGCTGCCCATTCGTCATTGGCCTCACGTTCATCTGCCCGCCTCTCATATAACATTCTCGAACGAAGAAAAGTGTTTGTCACTATAGTTGGTAATTAAGACATCTTTAGGTCAAATTTAATAAACGGCCGCAAAAGAGATAATCGCGTAAACGTATGGCGAGTATCTCCATGCAAGCTGCAACTTTACTAAGTAGATGTGTTAATCAGGATAACAGACTAATGGTAATCAATTTTAATGATTCATTAGTAAAGCCGCCTAATAAGCTCAAGCTCCAGCCCAATTCGCCTGCGGCAGCGAAATCTCCCATTTCTTCGGAGTATAGAAACTGCTAACGGACTTCTTTGGGACCAGCTTCTCCTCCAGTTCAGAAGAGCTGGCGACTGAGGTGAAGAAATGTGAACGCTATGCAAGGCTAGACCAGGTTTGCTGGTAGAAGAATTACTCGATCTTCATTCAATGACATTGAGAAGATCAAAACCCTTCGATTTCCAGCGGAACCGACTTGAAAATCTCCGGACCTTCACCGAAACTGAATGCGAGGAAACGAATCGAATACAAGAAATGCTGAGATCCGCATGTATAAAAAATCATCCGTGTGAAAAAACAATAGCTAGCGACATCGCATGTTTGTCATAAAATCAAACTCGAATTTTAATAAGGATACCAACTATGGCTTTCAAAGTCAAGCGAAATGACGGAGTGCATCCACTAGCATAAATAGTTATCGAAAGAAATTAGTAACGTTGTAGTCTTACGAAAGATACTTTGACGGTGAACAAGATGATTTCCAGGAATGGACGAGACTCATTGGCTCTCTCCCAAGTGGCCTGGCAGACAACCGTTCCACGTGATATGGCCTGGCGTGATTTTCATCATGCCGTCGAAATTGAGCGCACGAAAAGAGACATTTTATCTGCAGTCGTTGAAAGTAGTGGGTTATACGTTAGAAATAAGCTGGCTTTAATTTTTTGTAGCTTAATATACCTCAAAACGTCGTACGCTATTTCCTAACTTGTGCTTATGAATGATTGAGGTTAGAGAGGTGCTGAAAACTTTCTAAGCAGTTCAGGGCAATGCGAGCACATTGATCTGATGAACTGTAGCGATTACGAGACTGACGAGATGACTTGCATGCTAACGGCGACCGGTATGACATGCTGTGTTTGTACTGGCACTCTAAAAGCCAGCAAATGGTCGTTATTCTAGTGAGTGCCCATTCGTGAAAGAATTCAGTAAGCGTGGTGCTGCCTAAGTACGGTAGAGCTATAGTCGGTAATTGAAAGCGTATACCCGTGTTTCGCGGATGGTCCCAGAAAGAGGTCCATACGATGAAAACGGTAAAATGTTACTCCCTAAAAAGATTGAGCCGTGTTTAAAGCACGACAGGATAGTTATTTAAATGAGCGTAGTCATGGCCGAAATTCCATTACAGTTTCACTGGGACTCAGATTTCTGCCGATATCTTGGATTTGCAGCATGGCGACATTTGGGAGCGAACAATAGGCTTTCTTGTACTAACAATATTCTATTTTTAATGCACAAGAACACTGCAAAAGGATAAAATTGCTAAATAGGATAAAGTAGGGATGCGTAAAGGATACATTGATCAATCGGCCCGAGGTTAAAGGAGTCGGTTTTTGAAGTGTGTATGATAGAACCCTCAGTATTGGACCCCTCAAGGACACGTTATTAATTCTGTTTCATTAACCATCTTCAAGGTGGTTAAATGTAGTGCTGGTTAGTAGCATGTGGGAGCTACCGTTGTTTTATGTCAAAATTTTGTTGCTCTGAGACAAATCTGCTATCCATTTGCCTAGCTAGGGAGATTATGGGGTTTTTTGCACGGTCTGCAGAATCCGACAGAAGACCACGTGTGTATTGCAGGACGCCTCTAACCAATATGCTTCACGCACCTTGAGATCATCGTATTTACCAGAATACCAGAATCCGTTATACTAAACTCAGTTGTCCATTACACGACATTATGGTACGTGTCCAATAGGGTATTCGCTTGAGTTCCGTAAAGAGGCTTTCTCCATTCCTGACATAAAGTGTAAGAAACGAACCCTTTCAGTTGAAAATGCTTTGCAAAAGTGTAAGGATCGTTAATTTTTTTCAGATGTTGATCACGCATTGTGCTAAGTGGAATGGTATAGGAAGCTGCACACTATTAATATGGGACCAGAAATACGGTGTACTTGTGGTTCTAGGCTACGTGCTGAACTTACCGTTTCTATGTTTACTTGCATAATTCTGTATCTGCATGGGATTAATAAATCATCGATGCTTCGCAAAAGTTAATAGAAAAATTGGACTCTTTTATTGCGGTTTGTCAATCGTCTACACACAGAATCCATTTATTCACTAACAGTGCCGAACTGCTTCACGATTGCAAACACTTATCGAAACCCAATGTTGATACTTCTCGTTTGAGGTGCCACATTTGTTTTTACGCGGATTTTCGAGAATATGCTGAGAAAATCAATAGCGTTTTGAGAGTACAATGCTGAATACTATTCAAGGTAATACTTGTCGCCTACATCACAATGTTTTCACTTCTTATTTTTGCTCTATCCTTTTTACATAGCAAGGGATGATGTGAAGTACAAGTACAAGAATGCTGCGATAGGAGCAGAACTCGGAACCTCAGGTGCGCTCCGAATCCGCTATTACGCTCGCCAAGGGTTCAGGTGCTATCCATCATACTAACCAAGACCTTTGCCTTGACTGTTCCTCAGCTATGTGTTTACTTTATCAGAGGTATAAGCAATCACCTGTCAACTTATTATATTGTAACTGTGCTTGATACTTGGGCTTGTTGCACAGAGTTCACATGGATGAACATGCCTCTCTCACATTAAAATAAATAAAGTCTTAAATATTGTGAACGGTTATGCTTGACGAAGAAGTATTTCGCTCTGCGATTCAGTTTTGGATTCCAAAAAATGAAATGAAGGAAATTCTGAAATCAAAAAATCAACCGCGGAGAGAAACGCCTCGTTGTCATGCATGATCTCACACAGTATTCAAGACTGGTATTTTAATGTGAGAGATACATTACTTTTCCATGTGAACTCTGTGCGGTTGTTCGTCATTTGACATATTCAGTGGGAGAGTCATAGAAAAGCGCTGAGTGTGGGAAGGAGTTGCTTTGTTTTCAATGCGATTGAAATCCTGGTTTAGTGTTTTTTCTGTTTTGGTTAGGAATGTGTTCGGCCAAGTAGATTGAAGCCAACTTGCCCTTACCACGCTCTGAAGAAGCCGAAGTCCGCTGAAGCGTCTGCTTTTTTTAAAATAGGAAGTAAACTAACAACCCCTTGTTTGCTTGTCAAGGAAAAAAGTAAAAATTTTGCTTTTCGGAATGTGCCATTTGGTGGCGTCCCTATTCATATGAGAACTAAAACCAAAGTTCTCCCTTATACTGAGGACGGGTTACAAGGTGTGTGCGAACTACCTTAATTAGCGAAATGCAGATCATTCACGAGACAGCTTCCAGTGGAGGACGAGAGGGCACTCGATTGTTCCCCATCATACGCTTTTTCACCAACTTCCATCATAAACTGGGATTTATACGTCAATTGCACATTTGCTGCTGAAGCAGGCCAATAGTTGGAGAAAAAGAATGTTGAGTGTTTCCATTTTGTTGATTAATGACCTGTGTATTGTAGTGTAGTTTATTTAATTTTTTTCATTACTGGTAATACGCAATGTATTGGTGTTTAGAATTCATCACGTATGACCACAAGCACTGAATAGCGCTTGGCAATGATTTCCCTCGGACTACCACGCCGTCGATGTCGTTTGGATGATGGAATTAATAAGATTATAGCCAAAAGCTCCTTCAGCGTTAAAATGTCTATTCTATACAGGTTGAGTAGTTGTAGAAAATTCCCGTTATTGCTGTAATACCAAAACCTAGACGCCCGAAATAAGAACAATACTGTTGTGCGGAAACGAATCCCACAAGCGTTTTAAGCTGAGTTTCATTATGATCAGCATGCTGGTGGTTTTCCACCTGATTTCTCTGCAAGCTGCTTGAATTTTCCTATTTAAATTTTTTTGTGTACACGTTTTGAGCCGTTTAATAAAAGGCACGTTTAGGTCCATAAAACGATGAAAGTCAAATCCTCACATCCGGAAAACTTTAGTACACCTCTGTGCTTTTTATCTTCGCATTTCGGGACCAATTTTGTTAACATCGCTTTATAGAACAGCTTTCTGGCCCAGTAAGGGTGGTTAATTGGAATATACCCTGTCTACACCTTCCCCTGCTTTACCTCTCCTTTCACCCTTCTTTCTAGTGCATAATTCAAGAAAGCCTGACAAAATTTTTCTATTTTCATCTTATTAGCCCGCATCGGTAACCTCAATGCTATCCATACTTTGTTAGAGAATGCTGACTAATCCTTCTTTAACCTTCTTTGCTTTAGAAATGATTCTGTCAACCTTTCAAAATACTTCAGCACGTTCTGCAACTTTTATCCCATCAGTGTTTCACCACTGAGAGCTTACAGAGCAACGAATCACTTCCATCATATATTCAATGGCGACTAAGCAAAAAGAGTGGGTTGGACGCAAAGTTTTGCTTGCATATGTGAAGCAATTTGCTTAGATTTCGAGGTAAACGTACAACATCGTCACAGTTATCCAGCTAAAAGACGCTCAGTGATGGGATTTCATCGCTTCTCTTCTCCCAACCATTTGTTCAGTACTCGATTAAGTTCTCACCAGAGCCACCCGACAAAAAAGTGACTGTGACATTCCCTTTGGCCTGGAAAAATGCGTTTCCAGTCTACTTAGCACGCATAAGTACTAAAGTCTTCGTTCGAATGGTCCAAATACAACCAAGTAACAAGAGAAACCTTTGACAAAACCGACACCTGGATGCACAATCCGAACTTACGAAATGTTTATTCAAGGAGTTTCCAACAGTTTAGCAAAGTTCGTCAGTTTGGGATCACAGTTGAATGAACACACAAAGCAAACGAAATCATCGACCGATTCCAATGAACACAAAGGGAGACGAAATTCACAATGCAGATAGTAGAGCTATTTTAGATTTCGAGAATTGAAACAACATCAAGAACACGTCCTGCCTTAAAAAGAGGTCATAATGCTTGCGTTATACATCGTCGATTAAGAGCATAAAATAACATAGTACAATACAAGCAATTACACCAGTGTTGAGCATAAACAATTAGTTTCTGGCTTATGAACACAAAAAGACTAGAGAGTGACGGGTGGTACCTCAGTCACGCAAAAGTACCACATGCATATAGTCCTGCATTGATAATGGATAATCTTAAACTTCCTAACAATATAGAAAGAGGGGAAGATCTGAGAACTAAAAGCTCAACCCACTTGTGCGTTGTGAGCTGGCGCCACCACAGGAGGCCTCGTTTCTTGTTTCTCAGTGACGGAGATCGGTTATCGCTCGAGTGAAAACCAATCGTATGCATTTTGGGAAAAAACTGTCATAAATTTTTTATTCTTTAGTGTCAAATCATCGAACTGAATATCATAACTCTGTAGACTGTAGTGGTGGCGGGAGCGGAGGCTGAGGCGGATCAATGGTACGAGTTGTCGTCGGCGCCGTCTCGGTAGCGTAGTACATATTAATCTTCCTGCAAATCTATTGATTTCCTCTAGCTGTGGTTTAAATTCGGCTATACCGTTACGAAAACAGGAAAATTACTGGAAACTCACTGTGTAGGCTCGCGACTCAATGAGGTGTGATGTGCCGCCTGAGAGCTTATGTGACGTAGCTTGCGAGTGTAGGACTGTCGTTGACGGCAGTAAAGGCTGATGTACGTTAGCAGCAGAACGAAGATAATGAGTAGGATTCCAAGCTAAAATCATTTGAGAATGATTATGTGCATCTGAAAAGACCTCTAAACATTTCGAGTGATGCAAAATCACAGTGTTAGCCTGATTTCAAAAAAGTTATTTCACGAGTATCATAAACGTTTGAATATGTGAAAAGCTGGCGCCAAACATCTCACTGGGCGTGGTTTGTACTTTACTGTACTTTAGGCGTGGTTCTCTCAGGAATAATTGCAAAAGTAATCGGATTGATAACACTGCGTATGGTTATGGAACACTGGAAAAGTCAACTTGGTTCGCAATTCATCTTCTAAATAGGAAATATTAAAGATTTTCGAAAAGTACGTAAATTCCCAAGTCCGACTTTCTATTAACCTCGGCATTGATTGAATAATTCTTTCTACTTCTGTTCAACAAACACGAGGTGCTATTTTATTTCTTTATTTGCTTACAAGCTGACGTTTCGGCGGATTTCGCCTTCCTCAAAGCCTGGAAAGGTCAAGTTGACAGCAACCTATCAGGCCAAACACCTTCATAACCAAAGAGAGAAAACGCTAAACCAAGATTTCAATCACATTTAACATAGCCCTGCACACTCACCGCTTTCTATGAGTCTTCCACTGAGTATTTCGTGTGAAGACCGACCGCACAGTACGTTAATTATCCACTCGTTAGAAGAGTAACCCTCACTTGGCGCTCTAGGTGACTGCAGCAAAGACAGAAACAAGTTACGTCGAATGTTAGTACTAAGATCACCTTGTATCCGAACTATGTTTCTTTTTTCTGAAGAAGGCCGAAACGTCTGGGCAGAAAGGCTGAGAAAAAGGTGAAACGAAGAACTCGCTTGGCGTAGCGGTGAACGCTTTAGCCTCCGGAAAGTGTAACAGCGCGTCTCTTCTCCACCGTAGGCACCACCCGTGTGGAGATTTTGTAAATATCTCAGCATCATTATGGTTATATTACACATAATACTCTGGCATTGAAAAAAATATGTAGTAGACAAAAGTACTACATTGTGATTTATACCACAGCTTCAGCTGGACTGCGTTTAATGCCGAGATGTGCTCTCCAAATTAATCCCGTTGATGCGTGATCGCTGACAGCACCTACAAGTTAATAACACGGCTGAGAGAAAGGCGAAACGAAGGACTCCCATGGTGTGATGGTGAACGCGTTAGCCAAGGGAGAAGGTGGTATCGTGTTCGTTCCACACATCAGGCACCAGCAGTCCGGAGTTTTGCAGTTATCTTAGCACCATTGTGGTTATTTTTCTTTGATCACACACTCAGCTTTTGTTTTTCGATGAGAAAATAATCTAAAACTGATCAACACAGCTTTCAAGTCGAGAGTGATTGAAAAGTGACTGCCTATTTTGAAACACTTATAACTCATTTACATATTGTAATATTCTTCTCAAATTTTTTTCATACATTCCTTGATGAGGGTTAGTGTTTGGCGTTTGGACGCCTTAGAAATATGGCCAAATATCTTGCTGCGGGAGGACGTGCTCAGCTAGTAACACTGCGTAGTTTGGAGATCCGCTGTTCAAACTTAAAGACAGCGACCATAATTAAGTGGAAACATGTTCAACTAACACAAAGGCGATAAAAAACTAACAAGCAAAAGGCATGGTGATGGTATCCTTAAACGATACTCGAAGAAGGCGTTGCTCTTCCAATTCCGGAGGTAGTCCAGGTTTTTCGAAAAATGTTTACTCGTAGCCCAAAAAAAACTGGATAAGCAGCAAGGAAGAGGGGGTTCTCGGGTTTCAGTGTGTACAAACTTTTGTTGTTGCACATTTCACTACTGCTGCTAGTGAATGCCTGCATCTCCCCTTTTGCGGCAGATGGATGGCAGGCTTGGGTCCTCGTGGTCAGTATGAATGTCCAGCCAGGATCTCTCACTAATATCCTGCAACTTTTCCCTTGAAATTGATTAGAAGAGCAAGTCACCTCCACCAAACCAAAGACTCTGGTAAGACTTAAAGTGTTCTTTAATACGAGAGTTATGTCTCCTAACCCACAAGAGTTCCTGGTGAAATCAGTTGACACAGTTCCCGATGGCTTCAAAAGTCAGCGGTTAATGCTACTGCTCTCAAGTTTTGAATAAAACTCCATGATGCGTGCTTCCTTCTCATATAACTTCTTGTTAAAATCGTAGTAAAGAAGTAAATCACAAGAATTCAGAATTAGAGAGCGCCTTTTCAATAATCCTACCGTTTATTTTTCGGGGAAAGCGCCTAGCTACATTTCGTATTTTTCGGATATAAACAGTGTTTGTCTAGAATTGCTGGTGCTCACGAAGTGAACGAGGGTGAGAATAAATTAATGTTCTATTCCGCAAACACAGCATGGCAAAACTTACAATGACTGCCTCGAGTGAATTCGGACTGCTCGTGCTGACAGAGTCGATTTCCCGTAAGCCGTAAGCGTTTCGCAGTTCTCTTCGGAATGCGCTTTTCGATGACATCAGTCTCCTAGAAGTTGATCTCGTTCAGAGCACCAATAATGTGTTCCCACATCGAGCAAGCAACTTAATGGCAATATTTTCAAAAGGCAAAACCATATTCAATGTACGATGAGCTTTAAAGTAGTCAGTTGATTCTCAATGGTAAAGATATCAGGTGTAAGAAATCTAGACAAAAAAGGGATACCATTAAAAAATCTTGGCAAAGCATAAGAAAGACAGAGAGTTTTCGCCTGTTTTTTAAACTTTTCTTCCAGGCGTCTCATTTGAAAACAATCAAATACCGACCAACACCTTTTCCACCGCACATCGATTGCTTTGACTTCAATGTAATTCACTTCGTTTTCTTCTTAACCTTTGCCATGATGTTCTATTCCAGCAATTAATTGGTTTTGTCTTCCGAAGGTAACAAAACATATGGACATTGTCAGGGGTTTGCGTGCATAGTGGAAAATAGCGAGCGCAGACATTGAAACAACCCTTTCAGACCATTGCCGGTGATGGCACCATTAGGGTAAAAAGACTGGCTGAAAGGCAGAATGAGGGTCCCGGTGATGTAGTGCGCGACACGTGATCCCTCAGAAAGGTAACCGCTTTTCGGGATGATGCTCATGTTTTGTAAACATCTTAGCACGATTGTGGTCGTATTTTAGATAATATCCTACCGTTAAAAAAGTAATGAGCAGTAGAAAAAAGTCCCAACATCATTGCTAAAGGCATGAAATGATTGGCTGACTTGTCTTTAAAAACGAACCTAAACTTCCACGTTACCATCTGCTTAATTAACAAAGACTGATGTGAATAAGGCAAACCCCATAGAGAAACTACAAAGAATTGCAGAAAATCCTTAAGGTGTATGGTGCCGAAAATGTCTAATGGTCGTGTGAAAAGATTTCTATTATTCAACTCGTTGACATCTGTGAAAACCGCTGCTAGTTTTCCAATGCCTAGCTGCTTAATGAGTGATTAGTATAATGGCTAAACAATCTCGAAAAAGGAGAAATATGACAAAGTCACCTCGACCTCGTGTAAGCTCATCAAAGAAAGAATACATATTGATTAGTGATACCGAGGTTCAAGGAAAGTCGGTTTCGAAATGTGACAAAGTCACTGTTTTAAAACAACTTATGATCCACAAAGGAATCACTGTAAATTGGGAACCAATTCCGATTTTGATCAATAAAAGCCAATAAGAATGCTGAAATCGATAATCAAATGTATCAAGATGGGTTTTAAAGAAAACAGGCGTTCCTTGAAACCATAAAAGTCTCGAAGTTATGTTTTTAGATAACTGGACGTTTGCCCATAGAAAAAAATGCCCATCGCGTATCTGGAGTTTAATTTCCCAACATATCTTGTCAAGTGTCAACGGTCCTCCTAAAATTCGGAATTAGTTCCACCTGGTTTTATGTTTGGGGAATCCAGGAGCAGCAACCAGGTAATGATAAAACTAGATGCTTAATGCTTCTCGGTATGTAAAACAAAGTAGGAATTAATTAAATATATTAGCACAGCGGTTAAGGTGTAAACGCCAGGGATACTACATTCTTCGCAAAGAATGATGGAATTCGCTTTTTTCCCTTCTTTGGCAGAAATCACTCGAATAAGTGGGACAACAACTTTTGGATTTTCAAGTCAACTTCGGCCAAGAAGTACAAACCTCAAGACATTGTCGACGTCCATCAAATTGCCATGTGCGTCTAGAAAGTGTGCCAGAACTACAGTGAAGTTGGCGTTTTGCCGTAAACGATCCACTACCGCCGTCAGTGAAGTTGCGTTTGATAGCAACCTTAAATGGAACGCGGTATTCGCTAGTAAAAGTAGTAAAGTATAAGCACAGCTCAAAAATGGGCAAAGGTTAGAGAATTACGCAGATTATTTCCGAATATTCATAATTTCAACCTTTCCCATAGCACAAAGGTAGCATATGGCTAAAAAGAACACCGGTTTCCTTCCTTAGGACAGCGATCGCTCGATTTCAAACATAAGTCCTTTTCATGATCATTTTGACAATACTAAAGAGGAATAGGAAGACAAATGACAAATATCAACTGCATATAGAGAATTTCTCTATCAAATCGCGAATTCTCTAGCCACCTAACATATATACTCCAAAGTCGTTAGAAAACATACCTCGCAAGTGTATGTAATCTATTGTATAATAAAATGTTTGCCACAACGCCCGCGCGCGTGCCCTACATTCACATCCCATTTTAGCCTTCGGGCACGCCACTAGACAAAGCATCTCGTAGCCAACGGGCACACCACCAGGCATGCTACAAGGGACGACTCGTTGCTTAAGGACTAAGTCCAACCGAATGACGTGGGTCGCAAGTCGACGCAAGCGAATGACGTGGGTTTCAGGGTTAACGCACGGATCGTAAAGTCTAGTCTTTAAGCAGTGAGTCGTCCCTCGTGACATGTCTGGTGGTGTGCTTGATGACTAAAATGAGATGTGGATGTAAGGCACGCGGGTGGGCACTGTGGCAAATATTTTATTACACGACAGTTTAGGTGCAGTTACGAGATATGTTCTCTGTCAACTTGTGAAATATATTTGTCAGGTAGATAGAGAATTCTCTATTTGATAGAGAAATCCTTTATACTGAAACGATTATTAATAGGTAGAATTCGGCACAAAAAAAGGAACGGAATGACATTTGAAAATAAACAATTAACTAGGAGAAGTGGCAGGAGTGATAAATGAGCAAGTAAGGAAATGGATGTAGACGTACTTTACGATATTCTTCTCATTTTTGTTGATAAAGTCAAAAGGCGCATCGAAGAGTAGTTCAGTCTGCTGTGAGTAGGTAATAATCGAAATCTAAACAGTGCAAAAAACTTCCTTCATTCGAATATTTCTGTTTCAGTCTTTGTGTTCTTATACACCTCCCAACGGTGTACCGCTCGCTGGGAGGTGCTCCGGACTGCGATGTACAAGCGTGGGGATTCATCGCCCTGGCAAGGTCTCCCAAGCTGAGAAGGTGTCCGACATTTCCATCAGGAATCCTAGCTAAGAATAAACCAATACTAGCATTCACCACAGCCCTGGTATCAAACTAGTCGCATGGTGGGAAAGCTCCCTCTGATCCACAAGAACGGCGACTGCCTGTGGTGGTAACGACCTGGGGCAGACTTTTGCCACGCTAACCTCTGAACGCTAGGGAAGCACGGTTGCTGGACCAGTAAAACTCTGTGGAATCGTAATTATGCTGGAGCCCGCACAACCAGTGAGGACGGGCCGTCCAAGTAAGTATCCAAGTAAGTAAGTGTTCTTAAACATGTTAAAGAAGTGATCGTCCGGTGGTATTCAAAAACAAACTTGACAAGTAATAAGGAATAGCCTCGTAAACAAGAATCCTTAACTTCTTCACGTCAAGGAGGTTTAGGATTCCAAAACATACCACTACGGCAGCTGAGTCCGCATGACCAACGCCGTCGGTGACGACGACTGTGAAGGAGTAGGATGGCTCACGCAATGGCTCATTGACCGCCAGTCTGCCCGTTCCAGCTTCTATCGATATTGGTGCATTCGACAGCGGGAAGCTCTGTAGGTCATGACAACGATAATTACGGACGGGAATGCTTCAGAGAAACCTCACAGACCTTCTTGGGAGCCCTTATCGCTCCTGAAATCGAATAATTTAAGCCATTCGTTTCAACGTCGGGATCTATTGCCGCTACTTGACCCAGATGATTTCCAGGAGAGGCTTGTCCCTAAAAACAGTTTTCGTAAGACCACCTTATACTAGTAAGTAAAAAACTGAATATGAGATAGAAATAAAGACCATGTGGGAGCAAAGGAGCAAAAAAATTCCAACAGTTGTTTGGTTCGAGTTGTTTTTATTGAGAAGTAGTGGGTCCATGTTTGCCATCAAGCCAATAAAGGCAATCTTCTCACACAATATCTGAGGCCAATTTTAAACATTATGAAAAATTTTCAATCATATCTATATAACAATAGAAAAGGTGTTAAGATTTTCCACACCGCTTAATATGAGCCCAAAAATAATAAAGTAGCTATATTAACTCTTTTATTTACTGCCTTTTTCTTCTTAATGGCAGGTGTTGCGAAATATAACTCGTATGAGATGCTGAGATATTTGCAAAACTCCGGACCACAGGTGTATGCAGTGGGGAACGAACACGCGCTGCTCCCCGGTAAGGACAACAGCGCGTGTTCGTTCCCAACTGCATACACCTGTGGTCCGGAGTTTTGCAAACATCTCAGCATCTCATAAAAGTAGCTATGATTGTGATTTCGACTACAACTTCAGCCTGACTGGGTTCAATACCGATTTGTGCTCCTCTGATCAATTCCGCTGACGGGTGATCGATGGCAGCGTTAGGTAGAAAACTAGTTGAGAAAAACGCAGAGTAAGGGCCTGTGTAGCGTAGTGTGTAATGCGCAAGCCCCCGGAAAGGGAAATCGTGGTTCGAACTGGCTCAGGGTTCAAGTTTTGCGATATCTCAGCAACGCTGAAGTTGTAGTTCACATAATACTCTGCCGTGAAAAATTATAGTAGGCAGAAAATAAAAGGTTAACATTGCAATAAAGTAGCTATCATCACAATAAAGTCTAGCTTTCTCAGGAGAAATCTATGCATGTGGTGAATTTTATGGCGACTATCAGATTGCGACAGGAAATTCTCAAGATGTAAGAAAAAAGAACATTTGTAGTTTCTACAGTACCTGTATAACGGTGAAGTAGTAAATCTTGTTGGTGAAACGTGGGAAGTTGTCGTTCACGTCATTCACCGTCAGAACGCCGGTGACGGTGGCATTCTGGGATTGGTGTGGATCAATACAAGCCAACTGACAGTCATAGGCAATGATCTATAAATGTTTCACTTATTCAAAGATAGCCTTAAAGAACCAGTTTTAGATCTAATAAATGGTCAACATAAGTGTTCATGGCATACGGGTACCCGGTGGCCCAATTCAGTACTTACAGGCCCATTGCAGTGCCATACGTAGTACTCATTCCTCCGCCTCTGTCCAGTCAAATGTTCCCATACCTCTTAAGTCGGCAAAACAATAAGAGACCAGTCTAGGAGGACAATACGCTGACTTTATATATGGCTAGAGCATCGCAGGTTATTGTATAAGCCTGAGAGGCATCAAATCACCTATAGCATACTACGAATGGAGTGAAATGCATAGTGCAGCACTTAGGGATTGATCAACGTCCAAAACTTTTTTCCTTAATCCTTTGTATCACTACACAAATAAAACGTGCGTAAAAAGTAATATCGCGCTAAACGGGTTTACTTCCAAATACTAACTAACCAAATAAGTAATGTTGACAATATAAAAGACAAATCTATAAACGTATAGAAGAAGCCCACAAAATAAAATCTAGCTAGACTTGGAATATGGTAGATTTCTAAGATGAAACACGTCAAGAAGAAAGCTGGTTTTCCCGAAACACAGTGGCATGAATGAATTGGTAGAAGGAAAAAACTGCTTTCACATGATAGAGCACCCAGCTATAAGTATAAAAAGATGTAAACTGTTATAAACATACAACACTTGATCTTTGTTTTGGCTCCGCCAAATATTTTAATGAAACCCTGTGACATCGTCCTCGTTCTGCTAAAATTACTTGAAATTTGGCGCATTTTATGGATATCAGAAGGAGGTCTGGCAAATGAAAAGAAATACTCAACGGCACATGACGTCACTCACCGAGCTCTATGATATGCTAACGGAAAACGAAGTACGGAAAAAACTCCTGTTCAAAACGTGAATATTGCTGACCTTAAACTGATGTTCCACTTTCTGTTCGCGATCAAAACTGTGATTTGTGTAGAGAACGGGCAGTGTTGGTTGGAGAAAGAAAAACAACGTCGACTCACTGCTGTAGCACACCTGAGCAACTTTTCTGATTCCTATATAGTTACATGTTGTAATGCTTTCCTCTATCTACTAGCTGCATTAGAAACTTTGCCTTAAGAAATTTGGCCTAACTGAACATGATAGGCGGCCCTATTTATCTCTCGCCGAAATGATGAACGGGTGATTCGATCATTGCGACTATCGGAGCCTACCAGAATACGAGCAAAAATCCACCGAATCGAACAAGTCAGCCAACCAGTTTCTGCTCCATTTCAAACGCACCTATTCAATTAATCGACTTAGAGCTTTAGCGCGTATTCGGTATTTTGTTAATTCTGCCCCTTCTAACTTAAAATTCAACCACAGTGAGCGCTATTTACTTTTCGGCAATTAATGGCTAATGAAGTTCAAATTAAACAAGATTTGCGAAAAACAACTCAGCCCCTCCTCTGCCTCTTCAATCTCTCTTGTTCCTCTGATCAGGCTTATCGAATTACTACAACTTCTTCGAAGCGAAACATTTCACTGTTCTTTCCCCACCTTAGTATTATCGGTGTGGAAATCGGCGTCGAGAGCGATCGGCACGTGGCCAATCCGCCTGGGTGGAGGAGATCGGTCGTTTTCAACAAGCGACAAATGAAAAACCTGGAAATCAAGTGGGAATTATTCGAGTAAGGGTGAAGAAATGTCACCAGTTTTTCCTTAAGTTTCCAGTTTCGATCAATGTACTTCTTTGAGCTTGATCTCAGAGACTCCTTGGCTGTTCAGAGCTTTCATGACAGCTTCTATCTCAACTCAGTGAAACGCTTCCCTTAAATTGGAGAGAAAGTGAGACAGACAGGTCTTATGCATTCTCGCGATTTTTCAGTGAGTCTTGTTATCGTGTGGATGCGGTCCATCGTGCAAAATCCTTTCAGGAACACTTCTTTCTCACATGACTGTCCTTTGTCAAGTGTTCTGTCAATCGTGTTTAGGATACCTGGAGTGAAAAGTTTATAGACGAAAGACAGTAAGCAGTTTGGACGATAGTTGCCAATATCGTGCAGGTCATCCTTCTTGAACAACAGAACGGTCTTGCTGGTCTTCCATTCAGTAGGGACCTTGCCATTCAGACAGGTAACGTGTGAAGAGACGAGCCAGGGTGTTTACGAGGACTGGCGGAAGGTCCTTCAGGTGTTCTGATCTTACCCTGTCCGGGTCCCGTGCTGTTCGATTTTTCACCGACGAAGTAGCATGTCGGTTTTCAGAAGGAAGAACGGGTGGTACGACATGTCCATCTTCCTTTATTCCGTATGAAGGCAGGAGGACTCGGCTATTGAAGAGATCCGATTACCAGTCCTGAATGATTTTTTCTCTTGTCTTTCTGGAGGATATAACTGTTGCGCCTAGGCGTCAGAGTTCAATACTAGCCTCTGCAGCTTTAACTTTAACTGCTACTGTCCTTCCTTTAAAATTTTCTTCTATCGCCTATCTGCAGTATTTTTCGAGCTCGAACGTGGGTTAGCGGTTGTCTGCGGCTCATGATTTCACTATGGTGTCTTAGCTCGAGTTTTTTAGACGCAAACGTCTTTTTGTGATTTTCGAACTCTCAGATTTCATAGCGCGAGCCTGGAAATATAGAGTAAGGTGGCAGTATTATCTGTTGATGTTATCAATAATGCCTCATCCCAAGAGTGGAAAGCTGAAAGTGGATCTGAATGAATCGCAGTTTATGTAGGTTACGCTTTCTCGTTTTTTAAACGGAGCAGCTTTCTATTGGTTCCGCAAAAAATGGAATCTTATGGAAGAAAGTTACCGTCCGATCCTGTGTAGAATTTTGAGACAGCGTCAATATCGGTTGAGGAAAACCTTCGAATTACTATGATGTAATTTGTTTCGTCATGGTACTCTCCCTTGGGAGTCCTCCACGTCCAGCGTTGAGATTGGGGCCTCTGGAAATGTGATTTCCGTGGAAGGTCTTAGTTTCCATGGCAAACAAGCCCGTTCACTCTGCCCGTTCCAATCTAATCTTAATTTCTTTAGATGTTCTTATGCTTCGGATCCTTGGGCTAAAGTCTCCAATGATCATATTGAAGAATGTACGGTCTTTTCTGCATAACTCCACAAAGTCTGTAAAGAACGCTTCGACTTTGGCTTCGTCATAGCTTGATGTAATCGATATTCATAGTCAAGCTCGTATTGACGTCGCAGGCGACGTCGCCTACTCCTCTGTGGGTGGTGTGATCTCGTCTGGACCACTCCAATGACATTGTACCTTATCTTTCTTGCCTGCATGATCAAATCCTCTATCGAAGACTAAGATGCAACAAGGAATTAATAAAAGTAGAAAGCGGAACTTGATTAAAAAAGAGAAGATGAATGAAGGCGGAAATCAACCTGCCGAGAGAAGAGCGGGCAGTTATCGTTGCGGTCGTTGACGGAGATGAATACATGCACAGAGGAACAGTTCAGATGGTGGCAAGCCAACATGCGCAGCTCGTGCACCGGTTTCCGCTCAAAGTCGAACGGCGAGTTCGATCTCAGCGAACCGTAAGCGTTCAGCGAGAAGGCTTCCCAGTCCTGGAAACAGCACTCCCATTTTCGTTTATTTAATCTCATTACCTTTTTGGTGAAGTGGTTTTGCTATTGATCTTTTCCAAGCCTGAGGCCGACCATCCACTCGAGGATCATAGAAAATTTTCGGAAGAAACACAAAGCAAAAGCAGTTAGGTCAATGGTGTATTCCTTTTCCTTTTCATTTTTTATTCCAGACATAGGCATATTAAAGGCAGAATTTAGAGGCAAGCTTGGTTGGAAATAGCAAAAAAAGAAAAATGTCAGTTCTTAATATTACTTCCAATGTTGACCTTTTGTTTGCTGCCTACTACATTTTTCACGGCAAGGTGTAAGGTACTACAGCCTCGGCTTAACTGGGTCCATTGCCGATTTGTGCTACTCAGATCAATCCCGTTGACGGGGATTGCTCATGGCAGCGTTAGGTAGAAAACAAGCTGAGAGAAAAGCAAAGGAACGGCCCCAGTGGTGCAGTGTGCAATACGCGAGCCCTAGGAAAGTGTTAATCGGGTTCGATCTGGCCCGAGGTCCAAGTTCTGCGGATGTCTCAACGTCATTGCTGTTGAGTTATTTCCAATATTAAAACTTTCTTTTCTTCTTTAGCATATTTTTCATTGGTTTCAATGCCCAGGTGTAAGCAAAAATCTTTGATGGAACTAGTTTTCGAGCGGTTAGATCAAACTTGTTCAGTTTACGTCATTTGCAGTGAAGGTCATTTAAATTTAGTTCGTAACCCTCTTATACCTTTTTGTTATAATACGTACCTTCTTAAATGTCTGCTCGAATTTATACGTTACCAATCCCATATCATCCTCCTCAAGCAGTTTGATGCGCAGTAGTTCATCGTACTGTACATTCTCATCGAAGTAGTGGATAGAATTTGGCTTTGGGAATACTGAATTCACACAGCAAGTTTTAGTCTAAACTTAGACGGTGCTATCATTTTGAGCGACAAATCTTACTAATCAGGGGGCTGTGGTGGTTGCTTGAAGCCGGGTACACGGTGACGCAATACGGGTGCAAGACTGAGAGTGGTGGCGATCCGGAGTCCGTAGCCAGGATATGAGAGCAAATCTAAATTGTCCTGCGTGTAATCACGGGTTTTGAAGAAAGGCCTTATCTTCTGATACAATGTCAACTGTTGGAATTGAAAACCACCTCATCCGTTTCATTTCATCGTTATTTTATTCGTTATTCAAGGTTTTATAAAACAGAAGCTGTGTGCGACACTGGGACAATTTGAATCCATTTTGACCAGATGGGCTCGGAAGAAAAGTGGAGAGTTTAAAACTTAAAAGTTGAGAGCCAAATGAAACGAAATACCCGCATGGAGTGGTGGGGAACACTTTACCCCTCGGAAAGTGTAATAGCGCGTTCGTTCCTCATCGCGGACACTTGCGGTCTGGAGTTTTGGAAATATCTCATAATTATTGTGGTTAAGACTCTTTGTTCAAAGTGTTACCAGCTTCTATCCAACAATTCATACTCATAACCGTTTATCTTGAAGACAACCAGTGTTTTCTCTATCGAGTTTTCGTACAGATTTTCCTAAAAACATACCCTTTCTCCTGCATGGCCATCCAATTTTTCAGCTACCACTAATTTCCCTTCATCGGTCACAGAGAAAAGAGTATGATTGGCATCGAGAAATACCGATTGTTTACCTCCTAAATGTTTCTAATAACAGTTTGAAAGAACTATTTTCTTAGTTCTAACTATATGGGACAAAAAGTGAATTTCCTATGCTCTTAGGTAGCGGTGGAAAGTCGGCGTTCCTAAATCATAATCTCGCGAAGTCCCTTCAGTAAATTTTTATTTTTAGTTAAATTAACTAGCATATTAAATGTTAGTCACTAGTAAACTGACCTTCATCAAGATCGCTTGCGCTGACAGTAGAAATTGAAGCTCCAACGGGTGTGTCCTCGAAAACGGTGAGGTGATCCAGATCGGAATTGTGAATAACCGGTGGGTTGTCGTTCACGTCTCCAACCAGGACGATCACCTGAACTTCATTATTTTCCACTTAAGGCAGCATTTAACAACAACTTAGGCTCTCATGCAATAATAAAGCATTTTGTTGACTCTCTCGCATACCATGAGGATAAGAGCGATGAAAATCATGAAGGTCGAGGCCAATGTTATTCCGATGTCGACGAGCCGTGATAGCTGTCGCAAAACCACCGGAGTGTGATTACCACGTTCCCACTTTCGACCAGCATTTACATGTGTTCAGATGCCGTACAATAATAACACGATGGAACCCATGCCGTATGAAAAACGCAAATCTATTTGTTTAGTAATCGGTCTGTCATTCGCTATCGCTATGCCTGCTGAGAAAAGAATGAATAGAAAAACAGGTGATGAAAGTCGAGAGCTGGGAGGCCTACCTCACTGATTCGCGTCTCACCTTCGCGCATCTCTGCAGAGGCGACGCAGCCGTCACTTCAACCAAAATGAAATCCACACAAGTACAACGTTTAATTTTACTATTATTGGGATTGTCGTTGATTATTGCTCTGAGAATTGCTGCTAGATATGGAGCCGGTCCCCGCTAACAGCTGAGTGAATCAATCACCAGTTGCGTGATTACGTGAGGCACGTGTGGTCGAGATCAGTTAAAGTCTTGTCTCTTCATCATGGATGTTCGAAATTAACTGTTTGCTACCTGCTGGAGATGTTGGACTCAGAAACGAACACATGATGACTATTTATTGACTAGGCGCACCCTGCTCGACGTCATTCTCGTTATTTGATGTGTTTCCTTCTCTGCAGGACTATTGATGCTATCGATAAACCCAAGTCGAAGATCGAACTCAGAATATTAGCTCAACACGGCTTTCGTAACTTTTGGTGATATGCTTTTCTGCCTTCGCTCTTAATTTATCGATTAGCATGGTGATTACTAAATAGATGAAAAGGAAGTCTCGTTGAAATTAAGACGAAAAATTTTGATAAAAATGGCATGGTCTATAGATTTATGGTCCAACCTCGCGTCAGCTTAAGAAGATCAGTTTATAAGATCATATAAATAAATATATCAACTATCTATGCTGAGGTTTACAGAAAGTCGGTCTTTCGAGTTACTAAGGCATGGTCTATAATTTGACAGGGCGCTTGTGGCGTAGTCGTCAGGAGCGCCCTGCAACATACACGTGGAGTCGACCGCCGAGTCCATGGCCCACCAAGCCTTCCATCCCTCCAGGGTGGGCAAATTGCTACCAGACTTGTTTGGGAGGATAACAGCATTGGCTCGATACATCGGTAGGCCAGCGTGAGATGTTGTAATGGCTAGATATGCATCCAATCACCTCCAACGATACTTAATGAAGTCGAATGCACGGTCCATCCCTCAGGGACTGATCAACGACGAGAGCTTTATCCTTTATCCCTTTATAATTTGAACACTAAGCGACGTATTTATGAAAATTCTGGCGATGAGGTTTGGATTAGCTTAATGCTCACTACATAGAACGATGAAAAGCTGTCTTTTAAAGATGTCGAGAAAAGAAAGTTGTCAAAGACTGAAAATAAATAAAAAAGCAAAATGAAAACAAGAACAATATTTTAAAAAAAGCAGAAAAAAATGAAGGAAAATGGAAGAGGAACCGACCGACGCGAAAACTTCGTTGAACGGCTCCTCGCCAGCGTTATCCACACAGCGAACCGTTAGTGAATGCGATCGCTGAGTCTCGTAGTCCAGTTCAGATGCCAAGGTTATTGTGGACGTTCTGAAAAATGTGCGAAGAGCTCAGACACTATGCACACTCGGTTGCGTTTAAGGCCGTAGCTAGAGGTGCTCTGCAATAACACTGAATCGAGCCAATCTGCTTGCGCCATGTGGTCTACAAACTTTGCACTCAAGTCATCACAAACAAGATTGACAGAACACTGGAGGATGGACAGCCATGTGAGCAAGCAGGGTTTCGAAAAGGATTCAGTACGATGGACCAAATCCACACGATAAGAAGACTCGCTGAAGTATCGCGAGAGTACAAAGACTGCTCTGTCTCACTGTCATCGATTTAAAGAAAGCATCAGATGAGATAGAAGCAGTCATGGAAGCCCTGGAAGTCCCTACTCAGTATTCAAAGATTCTTCGTGAGCTGTACGAAAGTTTCAAAGCCAAAAGATCACCATCCTTCAACGATATTAACGTCGACATGAAAAAAGTGGTTAGGCAAGGCGATGCCATCTCTCCAAGATTTTTTACAACCACACTCACGAACGTCATGTGAAAACTAGTATGGGACGACATAGGAGTGGAAATCGATGGTGAGCAATTACACTATCTTCGACGACATTGTTCTTATAACACCACGAATTAGCGACTATTTGGCGACTTTGATAAAACCTGTGGAAAAGTTGTTTTTCGGCTACAGCTCACCAAAACGATTTCCATGAAAAAGGATTGATTTCATATGAACCATTGATGCTCAACGGATTGAGTATCCCTGAGTGCTCCAGCAACGTTTATATAGGTCGCTAAACGAACGAAATGAACGACTTAGCTCCAGAGTTGATAGGAGCGAAACAAGCGGGTTATAGAGTTTTCGAGATGTAGTGAAGAGAACAAAGAACACCCGACTCCGCGCCAACCTTTTCGACATCACGATTCTTCCTGGCTTAACGTATGCGTGGGAAACCTGGTCGTTGCGTAAGCAGAATGAAAGATCACTCAGCGTTGTTGAACGCGCAATCCAAAGGGTTATGCAAGGAGTAAGCCAAGTCACATAAGTGAGTGAAGAGAGCCGAAGCTTCGATCTGCATTAATAATCAAACATCGAACAAGTTCTATACGCTAAAATGTCGAAGATAACGTGGGCTGGATACGTAGTGCGCGCTAGCGATGATCGATAGATGAGAATTGTTGGTCACTGCATTCCTTAGAATGTCAACTACACAGCAAGAAGACAACCGACCCAATGGTCAGAGTTCTTCATGAAAACCGTAGAAGAAAGGCATGATGCTCAACGAGTCCCTAGAGCGAACAGAACTCACTGGGATACTCTTGCATGCGACAAGAAAGAGTAGAGGATCTACTGAAGTCCACTCAACGATCCACGGAACGACGGATGACCGGTGACAAATAACGCAAAGACTTTAACGCCTGTGTAATCTCGCTTATCTCCTAAGGCTGAACTTTTAACAGTTCCCAGGATCGACTTTCTACTAACCTTGGCGTTGGAATATGAATGCGTCGTTTTCTTGTTCAGCAATCGCGAGGTTGTTAAACAGTATACATTTACTTCCATGGAAAAACACAATACAAAACAACAGTAGCTGACGTTTCGGCAGTATCGCGTTTTTCAGAGACGCTTTTTACGTGACTTCCAATGAGGAAGATTAGAACAGCTAATTATAGTTTCATGTGACTGATGACTCTGAACTGAACTTTTAACTAGCTATTATTTTTGGATTTCCTTCAAATTGCCTTTTTTCCCTTAAGCTTTAAAAGTATTTTCACGTCATAGGCCTATCTATATAAATACCTTCTATCAATATCAAAGTGGTCCTCGCTTCCGACGAGTGAATAAAGAAGTCGGGAGAACTCGCCCTCATCGCCGTCTCTGGCTAGAGGATACGGTAACTCGAGTACAGAGCCAACATCAGCGGATTCGTCAATGTTAGTCGATAATACGGAACCATTAACAAATACCGGCCTAAAAACCATGCATTATTCTGCCAGTTTTCGGTTTTTTCATGATAGATAAGAGAGATATGAGGAGAAAAATGCATTCAACATATTTGGGCGATAATGATTGGCAAGTTCTTTCCGTAATATAACAGTTACTTTCATCTGAGATTTTAGTACCACTATCTTTCATTATTCTATTTTTTGGGTTGTACTTTCAATAATGTTAGAGTGTGCACCTGTTATCGTTGACGTCAGTTAGGATGATGGAAAAGTTAGTGGATGCCATGCTTCCTCTTTGACTGCGTACAAGAACTCGTCCTTCAATGTATCTGAACGCCTCGAAGTCCAACTTAGCGAGGTTTCGAATGAAACCGTCATCGTCAATCTCGAGCAAGTTAGTGGGTCCAGTGGTGATTTCGAGAGAGTATCTGCAACAGAGTGAGTGGAAGACGAACAGGGTTCTCACTTAGCGAATTAGATAAGGAGAAACGATGTTCATTTTGAATTAAGGGAACAAGCTGGGAGTTGACATGCATTTAGTTTATGCATAGCGCAGAATAATAAACGGTTATTCCGCTACACATCTCCTTAATTCAAAAGACGGTGCCAAGTCAACAAGGATAGCATATTTAGCCGCTTCCATTCAGAGATTGATCTTGGGGCAAATTTCAAAATTCCCTGTGCAAGGAAACTTGTAAATTTAACGTGAATGGAAGGATTAAACAGAAGTTACCTTGTGCTGGAGCGTCGTAAATACTGAGAACTCATTTCACTTATATGTATTCTTTTTTTGGTAAGCTTACACGAGGTCGGTTGGTAAACGTCAGCCGTAAATAAACATTATTTGCGAACCTCGTATAAGCTTACCAAAAAAGAATACATATTGACTAGTGATACCGAAGTTGAAGGAAAGTCTGTATTCAAACTTTATTTCACTTATTTTTCAAAGTGTCCTAACTTAAAAGTAACTCCAAACTTTCTGCTGTGATAAACATCCAAATGCATTGCGGTCAACATATTTTTAGGGAGTTTACTTAGTGCATTATTAAACCTAATCTTGCCCACTTTGCCTTCAATGAGGACGAGCTACTGTAATCACGCTGAAAAGGCTAATGCCACTGTATCGAAAGAATCTTAAAGAAGATAAGCTTAAATCTACAATAATTATGAGCAGTTAAAAGACGTCAATGCAGAGAGCAATCCTATAGAAGGTGGTGTTGTCTACCCCGGTTGTCATTTCAGGCATAGCCCATGACGAGTGGTTTCTCTTGAGTCACAGTCGGAGAAATTTGGATTGTGACGTTAGAGCAGTTGACATCTGCAATACCTAAGATGGGCTTGTGATTTAGTTTTGAGAATTACGATGTCAATCTTTAGCTGCTTCAAACAGCAATCTATGGTTTTTGGAGAAACGATGCAATTGAACTTACTAAATGTACACTTGTACATTTGCAGATTTCTCGTATGAATAGTTTAGCTTGTGATTTTGTTCTCGAATAGAATAGACAAACTTATTTCGTTGAGTCGAGTAGTCTAGATTGTAGCTCATCGTAGTGCTTTGGGTGAAGCTATCACGAAATTTTAAAAACAAGGCTCGTGCAGGGGTTTTAGTGCCGGTTAATCTTCAATTAGAAAGTCGCAAGGAATGACTTAATTGATTACATGGCTTTAGGGTTCCCACATTAAAGAGTTGGTTTTCTGGATTAATGGACGAAAACCCACTTAATAGGATCCTCTCCATCGGCTTTCACTTGCAGGAGCCGGGATCCGATTCCTGCATCTTCAGCGACTACTGTCTTGTAGCTGCTCTTCTTGAACAATGGAACCGAATTAGAGCTGTTGAACACATTGATGATAAGTTCCACTAGAGAAAACCATCAGTATTTTATTTCACGGATAATCTCCTAAAGGTTTTAAAAGCGTTAAAGGTTTTGCTATTCATTGCTTGTATTTGGGACACGTCTGATTTACTTGCATCTAAATCATTTATTCACGGATCCCATTTACGAAAGAGATCTCGGATCGACTAGTTGAGAAGTTACGTAGCGCGTACCCAATTGTGGAATGGGATTTCACAGAAGGCAAAAGGAAGCATGTAATCCTCCCAAAACGTATGTTATTTATGGGAAAAAATTTTCGAGATTTCTTTCGTGTGATTAACTTGTATCTTGGATACAAATAAATGTGAAAAAGAGCATCGTGATAAAACTGCTATTCTCTACGTGTCCATCAAGAGAAAAATGTCAACTAGGGAGCCTTAATATGCGAGAGGAATGAATGGAGCCTTTTAAGCAATTGCTCGGGTCATTCGATAACTAGCAGAACAGCAGTGGATTAAGTGGAATGTATAACAAACCAGGTACTTCTCGTTTTCCTTTCTTCATACTGAGGTAAAGGCGAATCTGCTTGACTCTCTCCGGCAACGGTTGTCTTGTACGGAATATGCCCGTGTTTTTGTCCATTTCTATCCATTGAAGAACGTCTCCGTCCTGAACAATATGCTTTGAACAATGTCAACTATTTACTTAACTGCGCAAACTTCATATGATTTCACTGTGACTCCTGTAGTTCTAGGGTAAGGATCTAAAAATACCGTAAAACTGCTTTCCGAAAATTCTAGGTAGAACGAGTGTCAGTCAGCATTTAACTTGTTTAAACGAATTCAAGCTCAGATTCAAAAATTTTCTGAGTACGAAAGGCAGCGGTACACCTATGAAAAGCGCTATTTTTGATTACATACATGCAATAATACCAGGCGTGTGGCTCAGTAGTCGGAGGCGCCCCGCAATACACACAGGATCGATTCCCGCGCCCGTGGCAAGCCAAGACCTCCATCCTCCTACGGTAGACAAAGACTTGTTTGGAAGAATATCAGCACTGGCTCAATACATCGATAGGCCATCGCGAGTCTTTGTAAAGGCAAGATGCACATTCAATTACCTCCAACGATGCTTGATAAAGTCGAATGCATGATGCATCCCTAAGGATTGATCAACGCCGAGAGGTGTTAGAGCTTTAAGCTTTGCATACGCTGCCTTGATGAATTATGAATTTCTAGATGCCCAAAAATACATGGAATGAAACGCACGATATGGTGGCTATTCCAGAAACCGGAAAAAAAGTAGTCAATCTCACAACAAATGAAATTACGAGACCCTGTCTTAGACGGAAAGATTTCATTGCTCAGTATTGATGGCAATTACAGTTGCTCTATACCGCTCTGTTGTCCACCTCGCTGACTCTGATGAAAGTCTTGCTCTCAACATTGAGTTCGCAGTCCTTGCGTCGCCTCACCAAAAGGAAATAAGAATAGAAAACTTTTTACACCGGGACCGGAAAGTTCCACGAAAATTAAAAGAAAACCCGTTCATAATGGGAAGTGCATAAATTCACTACAGACACTGTCTTGCAAAAACTGCTAACAGTAATGGCGCTCGCTAGTGTCGTCTGATGAGCATGTGTGCGATGCATGAGCTTCTCCCAAAGATCGTCTTTACGCGCACCTCTAATTTGGGTAAAACGAAACTTATTAGTCTGCGATAGTCGTCTACACAGTATCCACGACGATATAGTCTTCAACTGATTCTCGCAATTCCAGTTGGTCAAGGAATACAACATAGAGACATAATTTCGCTGAGGGCTTCTTCACTACCACACTATAGCGATGCACTTTTGACTAGGACGGGAAAGTGTACGTTTCGGTAGACATTTCTTCTCGAACATTCGTTTTGAAAAAAGCTTTTGCCTGTTTGAACAGAATTACAAAAGCAGAGGCGACGTTGAGTGGACTCAGCGAAGGTCGGAAAATTATGGAAGTATAAACTAATCGGAAGAAAATCCAATTCGTATACAACACCTGGTGCACAAAACAAATATTCTGGGTGGTTTATGTATTAAAAAGAAGCTATTGGAAAGGAAAGCCATATTTGTTTCTGCGGCCTTCAGTAGATGTGTGCAAAGATCTAAGGAAAGGATTCGATAGACGAGAACCACCAGTAGACTAACCGACAGACTATTTCCGGTATAAGCGCTCGGTTATTTGACGCAACACTTCTTCCGTCTGCGTGTAGTGCGGCAGAACTATAGATTGGTACTTCTACCATACAGCTGTAATATAGATAATAGAGGGTTTTTATCCGAAGATTAATCGGCACACCCATCCCAAAGCGTTTGTCGTTGTTCAGATCCTTGAAGAAGGGCGCTAGGGTGGATTCGCAGAAAATGAAAACAACATCGATGAAGAGCTCTAAAAAGACGAGCCAATACTTGTTAATAAACCAGCTGTATTCAACACGAACAATTAACAGATTCCCAAGCCGCAGAAGAATGGACTCGACCTCTTCTACGGTTATGACTGTTGCAAAAAATTGGAGGAGATGGAGGAAGTGCTCTAATGTTTAGTAATGGTTACAGTTTTCCATGGTCTCAGATTCGAGAAAACAACATGTGAAACATTGAAATTTCTGAAGAAAATTCCAAAGTTGGCCTGACATTGAGTTTTTCATCTTATTCGTACGAGGCTTTTTTTTAGTATTGTTGATTTAAACTTACGGCGAATCCGTCAGAAGTGGCTCTCGTTATCTCATAGGTGTAGCCTCTTTTGCCGGAATTTGCCCACTGAATTGCACTCCTTAATGAGAACTTTTTGTCAATATAACGGCAGCAAAAACAAATAGAAACAGAATATAGATATATGGGAGAAAGGATAAAAAGATAAATCTCTCGACGTTGATCAATCCCTGAGGGATGCGCCAATCATTCGACTTCATTAAGCGTCGTTTGGAGGTGATCGAATGCATGTCTGGCCTTTACGACGGCTCGTGGTGGCCTACCGATATACCAAGCCGGTGCTGCTATCCTGCCAAACAAATCTGATACCAATTTGCCGACCCCGTACGGGGTGAAAAAAGTAGGCGCTTCTTTCTGAGATCTTGCTTTTGGAGAGGATGCCCAATGTGATCTTATTTTTTCTTACATTCTTCCACAAGTTTAATACAAATCCGACAACGAAACTGATATTGCGCTATTTTAAGATCTCTTCTTTAGTGTTGTTTTGCGGATTCCTTTCGTGTATGACGTAGTAATAAAATAGCGCGATGGTGTCCCATTCTTCAATGGGGAAATGTGGCTCAAATTACTGAATTTTACTACCTACACGTTCTTCACAGAATTTCAATGCACAGCGACACTATCACATTACGCTTGCAGTTTTAACGAAGCGATTTCACTTCAGTAATCGTGTATGCTTTCATAAAAGTAGTTAAGCGCCGCGATCTCAGAGAGCCTAGTAAAGGTAGAACCTTTCTAGGAACATTTTTATGAATAGGACATTCAAAAGCATATTGAGGCAGTGTACTAAGTCAATTACAAAAATGTAGCAGTGCATTTCTACTTATATTTTTTGTCACTGCATCCCATTGTTAGAGCGAGGTTGGTAGAGTGCTACATGTGCTCTGGAGCACACACGTGGTCTCTGGTTGAAATACGCGCCGCGAGCTCATCGCGTCCTCCATCTTTTTGGATCGAAAAGTTCGTGCAAGACGCATCTAGGAGAATAGCAGCATTGGCTTCCTACATCAGTAGGCTTTCCGCAAATTATTGTTTAGACCATATTTGCATGATGTACTATGAACGGAGCCCAAACAATATGGTTTCTATTCCTCTTGCCAACGCTTGCATTCTTCGCAAAATGAGTTATTTCATGCCTCAAGGCACGACTTTTTCTAAACATGTAATTTTTAGCAATATTAAGAAACCGAAACAGTTCGGCACCATTGTTTTTGTAGCAAATTGATCTGGTAGTGAGCAATGGCCATGCACAACTGATGGGACAATTCCGATGTGAAAGTTGTACCTTTGCTCAGTCTCGGTGAGGTTTAGTTCGACGGTGTGTACGTTTTGCATGGATGACTTGTGTTCATTAATCACGACTGTAGAAGAGCCGTTTCTGGTAGGTTCGCCGCCGTCTAGGGCGAAAACACGGAATTCAACGGAAGTATCCTGCAAGAAAAATGGTGTATTCCAGTCTATATCATTCCGGTCTCTTCGCAACATTTTCGCTTCATTATTCACAACTTTTGGGTACATCCTTACCAACTTGATATTTCCCCTCTGAAGTTCAGCTTAGAAAGCTGTAACATGTCACATTTTTATATCCATTTTATTACTGATCATTTAAGGCAAAAGTAACAAAAATATATTTATGTATTTTTGATAAGCAGACGTGAGATTGGCTTTCTCATTTAAAACAGGTACGTTCTGCTCTTCATTAGCGTTAATTTGGCGTGCTGGGTCTCTTTCTCCAAGTACGAAACACACAAAACAGTGGTTGTTTTAAAGAATCTGTTCACTATGCGGTTGAAATCTAGGTTTTACCATTTTTTTTCGATAAGGTTAAAGAAGTACTTGAACGGCGAGTCTGAGTAGATATTGATGCAACCATTACCAGGTTCTGAAAAAAGGAAATTCTTCGAAACGTCGGCCTCTGTGGAACATTCTCCCGGAATGTTCGTGTATGCTCATCAATGACACATAAATCTGAATGCCAACGTTAACAGAAAGACGGTCTTCAGAGATGTCGCAAAATCAGCACATTGCAAAAGTGTCACAACGAAAAGATTTTAGCGATCATGGAATCTTCTAGTCAGTAGGTATAGTACAAACCCCGTAGAGCTTCACAGAAGTTGTTTTTACACAGGGTTAGCGGGTAATGTAGGATTAGCGTCAAGGTGAATTACACAGTTGTCATGCGAGACCCTTCGTCTCTCAGTATTAGAATCCCAAATAAGTATATTTTTTTGAGGAAAGAAGTGAAAATCTTCCAGTTTTTTACATTTCTTCAGAAAAAAAAACAACGTCACCGCAATATCCAACTAGGCTACGTCAATCCCATATACGAGTTTAAAAAAACTCACTTGTACATACCTATTGTGCCTCACTGTTTGCTAAATAACATTCCCTCATCATGGGTAATATGCCTTTTCTTTTGTTTGATCTCTAAAGGTCTGACCTTTGTGACTATGAATAAAGCGAAGTTTTCACGGTGACTCGCCTTGCTAAGGATACCGTCTCCATCATAGATCACATCGCCGTCGTCAGCGATTCGGAATCGTGGATCCTCCGACATGTACTTCACGGCGTTGTTTGGTGTCGTTGCGTCGGCGTCGCTTGCCTTCACTGACCCAATCACCTAGAGTACAGTCAGTCGTGATTGATGACATTATGAAAGATGGCAATAATTTCCTTTTTCCTATCACCTGCTGGCATTCTTTGTTTTGTTTACCTCCAATTTAATAAACAGTACAGTTGTCAAATATTTCTTAAGATACGCACACTTTAGAAACTCTACGATTCAAATAAATTTACGAAAGGACAGTGCATGTTCAAACTTCGAACAGCAAACGTAGACTATGTTAGTTTAAAGATATCAAAGTAATTCAAAAATATTGCTTTACGCGGTTGTCTAGTGGTTAGAGGTGCCTTGCCACATAAACGTGGTTGTCGGTTCGATCCCGAGCTCTGAGAAAACTAAGGCTTTCATTCCTGGCTCGAAAAATTGATACTACATTTATTTGGTAGGGTAAAACCATTGGAATGATACAATGATAGACTATGACATGCCATCACACGCCAAATATGCATTCAATTATTTATACGATTACTAGTGGAGTCGATTTCATAACGAATCCTTAAGGAAGTGAGTAACTCCAAACGCTTTATCGTCTACCCTCAATCAGTAATTGACGTCGTAGCATAAAATCAACCAAAAATTCTACTCAACTCATTCATAGAATTTTCCTTGTACAGGACAAATGTAATCACAACGATTTTGACTTGGTTTTCAGCGATTTGCAATAACAAGACTTGGTTAATTTTTAATAATGGTTGTTCTAGGACAATAATCTCTTTCAGAGTCGTACTAGAAAGTGTTCATCCAAAATTCTAAAACTCGTAACGAGATAAGATATAGTAGAACGAACTCCTCCTGGACTGATATTGGCATCCAACACAAACGAGTAGCGTGAGTTCGTGAACGTAGGCCAGTGATCGTTGATGTCCTGCAATAAGGAACTGCATCGTATGTAGCAAAATCATTGACAAAAAGGCATGCGTCGTGTAAAGACCAGTAATGCAATCACAGGAATTTTCCCTCGTTGTTCGGTTCTTAGTGATTAGTCTATTCGTAGCTCTCAAATAGTCGTACCCTCACTCGGACGGTGATGTTGATAGTCGAGGATCGTCGCGCTTGGCCTCTATCGGTCGCCCTTAGCACCAGTCGAATGTCCTGCTCAGCCATGGTGTCACGGTCGAGCTTTCCGATGAAAAGCATCCCACCTGACACGTCGATGGCCATGCCGTCTGGCACATTCTCCAGCGAATAAACGATTTGTCCATTCTCCCCGATGTCGAGGTCGGTAGCCTAAAGAAGGCTTCCTTCTCGCCATTCATTATCGACAGCTGAACGCGTTCGTCTGACCGCTGTAGCGTTAACTCTTTTTCATCCAATCAAGTTTTTAAGCCTCAGATCTCAGTTGCTCTTAGTCATGTACATTAGATCAACATATCATTTAAACACGTAATATAGATTGTCCGAAAGTTCATTAAGATTTCCGAGAGCTCACATTCTGCAGCGCACGCATCGAATAGACTTTACGAATACCTAGAGGAGCGCTCGATAAAGCAATGCAATGTCCACCTCGAACTGCCGCTTTAGTGACTTCTCCTCATCGATTTCTAGCAGATATTCTGAGTGTTCGAAACGAGGAGTGTTGTCGTTAACGTCTCTGACTACAATTCTGCCTGGACAGTTTGTCCACAATCCTAAATAACAGAAAAGACACAATGACATACATATATAACCACTGTTTAACAGAAATGAAGAAATGAATCCCACTATCCTCTTAATCATCTCAATTTCCAAATTTGTTGGACAGAAGGAAGAGTTGATGTATAAATTTTATTCGGAATAAAATTTAAGTTCTAAGCTAGAATATGATTTGAACAGAGCAGTAATCTAATTTGAAATTACACAAAAGGCAAGGAGATACTTGAGTATGAAGAGTGTGGCAGAACGCAGGAACGCTTGTTAGGTAGAAATCGTTGTCCTTTAAGTAATAAGAAATGAAAAGTGAACTCAAAAAAACTAGCCTCCCGCATCTGTGGCTCTGACCACGATATCGAACTGCTCGTGTTTCTCGCGGTCCATGGGCACAAGTGACCGAAGTTTCCCCTGGGGTGATATGGCGAATAGTTCCGACCCAACTCCATGGATACTGTAGGTGATCGGCGAGTAAAGAGCGGAGTCAGCATCAATTGCCTGGGGAAAGTGCGTTGAATGACCAATCCCTACGACCACAGAACACGTGACGATCAGACAATGAAAAATTTGGGCACTGATCTTATCGCATCACCAAAGTCCTTCAAACCATATTTTTGCATTGGCAGCTTTAATAAAAGTGAGAGAAATGTGCCAACAATAGAAGTGAGCATTATTACAAACTTCAAGCATCGTTAACATTATGCTGCAACGCCGATCCACCAATTAATGACGATACATTGAATTTATGCTGTTCTATTCAGTTTGAATCAACGTAAAAGAAGGTCAGCCTCACCTTCACTTCACCCAGAATAGTTGGCTTATGATTTTCGGTGACGTTGAAGGCGAAGATTTCTTGGACGCATTTGGGAGGGTTATCGTTCTCATCTAAGACTTCCACACCAACTTTACATCGTCCGATTGGTGCTGTCACCTCAAAAGCACGGCTGTTGAAGAGCACACGTACTGGCTTTCAGTGGAAAACCAGAATGATGGAAAAAATGGAAGGAGAAGGCATCGGTAAATTGTCAGTCAATGTTGTTATACAGATGTATATTGGTCTTGATGCATCACAATACTTGATACTTGAACGACCCGTCCTCACTGGCTGTGCGGGCCCTATCACAATCTCCATTTTTCGAAGTTCTGCTGGCTAAGCCGTTTTGGTTTCCTGGAATCCCAAGGACAGGCTGGTCGAAATCTGTCTCAGGTTTTTACCACCACAAGCAGTCGCAGCCGTTTTGGATCAGAGGGGGATTTGTCACAATCGACTAATTTGATACTAGGACGGTGGCGGATCCTGGTATTAGTTTACTCTCAGCTAGGGTTCCTAATGGAAACGCCGGACTCCTCAGCTTGGGAGACCCTGCCGGAGGATGAATCCCCTGCTGTACAATGCAGTTCGACACCCAGAAAGACCTCCCACCCACGATGAGGCGGTAAACCGTTGGAATAGATGCTTCACTGTAGTCCGGAGAGCTGCAGCAATCTTTGAAAACCTTCAAAAAATTTGCGGAATCTGTATAAATCAAATGAAATTGACAGGGCATAATTGAAAGAAGGAATTTAAAAAAAGAAACCAGTTCTGGAAGGATATAAAACACAAGACTGGGAAATAACGTAGCCTACAAAGAGTTCCATTGTCTTCTGTTTCTCGTAATCCACCAATGAAGCATTGGACGGAACAATTCTCACGTCGACACTTGTACTAGATGGATCAACAACGAATGCTGAGCCAGCTCCTTCGATACGTAAAGCTGATGGATTCTGAAAACAAGTACTCAAAACATGCCTTGAAATCAAGATGTACAATCCGTGAACCCGCACGAGAGGCATGACATTTCCTGAGATTATCGTTCCATTACTCGATTCCGTCACATTTTTTCCATGTCTCTCTAACTTCTGCATATCCACTGTGGTCTTCTCCGCATGTTTCCATGTTTTTGGACACATTTTGTGTGATCTAACTGTTGCATGTGACGAAAAAAAATTTAACCGTTATCTAGCCATAATGTTATTAGCCTTCCACATGGCTATGTGTGGGTTTTGCATTAAACGATCAATTCCACCATCCGAAGTGGGATACTGTAAGTATAGCTGAGAATGCCTATCCGTGGGACAAGCCAACAATTGACTACAAAGGGTCGCGAAGTTGTTACGTGATCAACAACTAATGTATCTACCAGGAGATATTGAAAGAGAAGCAGAACTGGTCCACTCTGCGCACTAAATAGTTCTTACAACACAAGAGGTTCAATCCTCTCAATCCTCCGGCCATTTTTGCGTGGCAGCACCATGGGTCCGCGCGTCATTGAAGCGCAGGAGAGATGTGCATTAAAATCTAGAAATACGGTTCGCAGCGAATGCGCCTCACATATTGAAATCAACGCGCATGGTCGTGAAAACGTTAGCCGGTTTTCGACAATATGAGTCATATATGACCCTTAACGGAGGAAAAGTGATGTAGGCTTTGAAACCTTCAGAAGATATAACTCAGGAAATAAGTTGTGAGAGATTTGTTAAGAACAATGTATTTGGTGCAAATTCCCAGAGTACATAACATATTTGCTTCACTTATTCTAAACCAAGGTTCGTATTTCGAACAGCAATGCAAGTCAACAACCTAGAAAAATACATAGTGGTGTTCTCCAATGAATCGCCTATGTTTGAAGTGGCCCACTTTCGCTAAAAATTTCAAAAACTTCAACAATTTCGTTTTTCATTTTTTGGACATTCTAGTTCTAAAGAAACCCGTATGATAACTGATAACTGGAAGTGTAGTACAAGTAAAACAATCGTTTTGTTTTCTTCCAAGTTTAAGAGAAAATTCGACATTTTCATATAGATAAGGTTAAATTGGTACCAAGAATCACTACGCTACTGAGAATAAAATATTCAGTAGATGGTAAATGATGACGACCTGGTATAGTCCAAGTGCGGCCACCTCACAATTTCCAAGGCGGAAATATTTCCTAATCAGTAAATCGGTTGTGAAGTTGATATTCTATTATCCGGAATCCCACAAAACTCTTATGGAATCATGAATATTCCGATCATTCCCTTTTCAAAGTGATAGAAGAAAGTCTTCTCTGCAACAATGCCGGGTTCCCAATTTCGCTGGGGTTCTACTTATAGAAACACCATCGTCATTTCTGCAAAAGTGTTGAGAAGAGCTGATTGTGCTGAAACTGGTAAAAAACTGACTTCTTCATTGTTTTGCTAGGCTGCCGCCTTTGCTTCTTGTAAGAAAAAGAGTAATGATTAGATAAGTTAGTCATTTTGTAATATTGTGTTCAAATTGATATCAAGGAGAACCGGAAATATCTTGTTGTCTTGAGAAAGTGTGCTAATCAGATAACAATCAGGGTGTTCAACCAACACTAGATTTCCAATACTTTCTAGCTTTCAAAAAATCATCACGTGCATGATTTCATTTCGAGTACACAATGAACCACTTCACCACTTTGTCTGAGACCTTTCACGAATTACGATCTCTAGGAACTTCGGCAAATCAACAGCGAAGCCCTACGCACTGTATTTGAAAAGTTTAACAAAAATGAGCATGACAACAAAAAATTCGTCTTCAAAAACTCTACAACTGCAAAGTCTTCTAGGTTTATCAGAACAAAAATTTCTTTATAAAGTCCTATATCTTATTTATTTTAGGGTTCAATTATCGCTGCAGAAGGCCAACTCACCACTGGTGAAGTTAATCTCACGATGAGCGGCTCTTCAAAATCCGATGCTCCTTCTTTGATTCTGGCCGAATAAGCCGGGCTTTCGCAGAGTTCCGCAAATTTCTGTGACATTATGCATTTTGTTTCACACTGCGACCATATCTATATCACCATTTATCTGAATGCTAGAAATGGATGAACTAACTATAACAAAATCCGAAAAGGTTACCAGTCACTGAGAGCACTGATCGGTAGAAGACAGGGAGAGTTTACCTTAGCAAGTCAATTACGTCAATTTCTTTTTCATTGGTAACCTGTCGCAAGGTTAACAAAAATTTCACTTGGCCTACGTTTCAACGCCTTCGCCTTTTTCTGAGCCGAACTGATGCAAGTCGATTGTTTACCGTATCAGCGGATCAATCCGGCTCTGAGAAAGGCGAAGGCGCCGAGACGTTAGCTGAATGAAGTTTCTTCTCAACCTTGTGTCAGCTTATCAGTGAAAAAACTAAACTTTGATAATCTTAATCCTTTCATTTACTGCCTTTTTCTTTTTAATGGCAAGGTATGTTGCGAAATATAACTCGTATATAATGCTGAGATATTTGCAAAACTCCGGACCGCAGGTGTTTGCGGTGAGGAACGAACGCGCGCTGTTGTCCTTACCGGGGAGCAGCGCACTTCACCACCACACCATGCGGATCCTTCGTTTCGCCTGTATCTCAGCTAGTTCTATCGATCTTTGCCACCAGCAATCCCCCGTCAACGGGATTGATCTGAGGGCCCAAATCGGCGTTAAACCCAGTTAAGCCGAGGCTTAGTTATAATCACAGTCTTAAGCCTTTTATTTACTACCCGGATGGTGTGGTGGTGAAGTGCGCTACTCCTTGGTAAGGACAATAGCGCGCCTTCGTTCCCCACTGCATACACCTGCGGTAAGTTAGTCATTCCGTGATGAAAGGAAAGTTGGTTTTTAAAATACCATATCATCGTTGTCACTTCACTAAGTCAGCAATGTGCGCTCATTGTACAATCAATAAGACAACGGTAAATTACAACTATTTTATTTTTTCTTCATTGCACATTTGTTCTAGGGGAGTCCTTGTAGGCTTTAACAGCACGAAAAAAGTTTATGCGGCGTTTAAAAGGAATCAGAGAGCACGACCAATGAAGTGGAAGGAATTGAACCCACAAGAATCGTTCGAAAAAAGCATCGGCAAGCGCATTAGAAGAAGAGATGGTTATCATTCCTACCACTTGATCTTCTGTCCTTTCTTCCGCTTGTCCACGAACTCGCAACACATCCACCGATTCCATGCCTCGTCCGCCTTCTTCCGTTGCCTGACAATCGAAGTAAACATCATAAATAAGAGGTAAAAGATATGGAATCATCTTGAAATACCCATATTCTTTGCCGTCACGGTTTGGAAAGTATGATGCTAAACAAGAGAACAAAGTTATTGATGACTAAAGCAATAAGTTCGTTCAGTTTTTACAATCACCAGCAATTTTTAGTGCTCTGAGATTCATAGTGCTGAATTTGTACAAATATATCCAAAACATGTTGGCCAGTGAAACTAGAAGCGCTAGCTATAAATGACGTAGTTTAAAGTTAGGATAAGGTAGAGAACCGAACCGTGACTTCCACTCGTAGCTCGATTTGTGGGTCGGGCATTTTCTTCAGCTTTACAGAACCACTTATTGGCTCGACTTCTAGATATTCATTCTCCTCGATAGAGTACCTACAATTGGATGTTATTAAATGGGAACCGTACTAGATATCGCGTCCTGTTCTACTTCTACGGATTTCCCAAATCCTTAAAACTTAAACAAATTTTCTTATAAACACTGGTTATCCAGTGAAGAAAGCACTACCAAAAATTTCCTTGTTTGCTAGTACTTTGGCACTGCAATATCGCTGCATCTTCTACGAAAATTAAAAATCGATAGGTTGGTCATGTCATAAAAAAGACGACACATTGACTGGCACATTGACTAGGTTATTGAAAAAAAAGGTGACCTCAAAGAAAACCCCTTGCAGGTGGAATGACATGGTCATCTACTGGCATGAACGAGCTGTACGTCATATTTCTTCCACGACCATTAATGAAGGCTATTCTTGTTATAGAAGGATACAACGCTGCCCATCACCAAGTAAACTCAAGATCTAATCGATGGAGATTTAAATAAGGACGACATTATGTCAGTAATACCGTATTTTGGTCTTGTTAGTCATCACTTCGTCGCCGTCGGCTGCTTTCAGAGTCACAATCACATCACCAACTGCTTGAGATGCAGATAATTGTATCGATTTCGAAAGATCGGTGACAAAAATGGGTGGTTCGCTGTAAGTCGAGAATTACACGATTAGGAAAAAACCTATAGGCTTTTCTTTAAGCTTTGAATACTTTTATGTTCATCAAAAAAGTTGGGGTCATGACCAACATAATTCAAGTGTCTCCTGACACAAATCGTCGTAACCAAAACCTGACTTTCGTTCGAATTATTCGTTAAAACTGTTCTATACAATTATTTCGCCTTGGGTCAAACAAATTTATAGTTTCTGGCAAAGTCGACTTTGATTTAGCCACGGAACCTCTTAACATTTCCTGGTAATGCGTTATTCACATCATGTTAGACTACGTTTTCCATCACTTACTCGTCCTCGTCGATGACATGAATGGTTAGTGTATGTGTGGCCGAGTTTGTACGATTCGAGTGCGGATTGCCGTCTTCAGCTGTTACCAGCACATGATGAGCTCGTTGACTAAACACTTTATCATTGTGAAACAGCAGAACACAAATGCCTATGGCATGAAGCCTACTGCATACGTTTCAAAGTCCAAAGTTCGGGTTAAGCGTATAGTCGTGTAGCACTCCTTGGCGAGACATTTAGCCTTGTCCACAGCGAACAAGTCGTTCTGAAAGGCGTCTGTTGTTTTAGGGTAATGCAGAATAACTGAATGATTACATTCTTTTTTGCTTTCTCCACTCTACTCTGCTAAACAACAAGAACAATTAAGGTGATGTAGTATCAAACGGAATGAGATTTAGTAAGAAAGAAAAATATCACGAAAAAATTTAAGCATCGTACTGGGCAATGAAAAATAGACAACATCGGATCAGGATAGAGAAGAGTCTGTTCATAATGTCATAGTGCCGATGTTGTCTAGTTTTCAAATGAAAAACGAATGATACTGAGATATTCGCAAAACTCCGGACCGCAGGTGTCTGCGGTGGGCAACAAACGCGTTATTACCGTTTCCAGGGTTAGCGCGTTCACCACCACACCATTTGGGTCCTTCATTTTTTCAAACTAGAGTTATTCACTATTTCCTTACATCTAGCGACATGGCCGCATCACAGCAAAAACTAACAGTGCTTAAAACTTGCACATGAAAAATTCATAAGGAAAATAGTATAGGATTGTAATTATTGTATTACCTTGCAAAACATGTTATGTATTGATCATGCCCATTTACAAAAATAGGATCGTTCTATTTAAGGAAGATATCACCTACATCCACTGAGAACCTCGCCATGCCAGATATGCCGGTGTCGACGTCTCGAGTTCGAAGAGTTGCGATGGCGAATCCTCCAGGCGAAGTCTGGAATTTCCAAAGACTTAGGGATAGGGCCTTCTTCACTGAACTATTCTATCCTTTTTGATTTTTTTTGCTCATAAATGATTTTTTCCACTTACACCTAATTGTGATTTAAGAGCTTCGCGTATAATCAACAAGAATAGTAAAATTCAACAAATCACGCAGCAAATTTCAATGTTATTCGAAGCATCTTGTATTGACAGATTGTAGTACATCAATCCTTCCAACGGTTTACTGCCTCATCGTGGCTGGAAGCTGTTTCTGGGTTTCGGGTCGCGATATACAGTGGGGAATTTATTCCCCTTCAGGGTCTCCCAAGCTGAGAAGTAGTGCGTCGTTTCCACCAAGAAGCCCAGCTAAGTGTAAACCAATACCAGGATCCACCACCGTCTAAAATTAGTCGCATGGCGGTAAATATCTTTCTGATCCACAAGGGATGCGACTGCCTGTGGTGGTGAAGTCCTGGGGCAGACTTTGGCCAGGCTGTCCTTGGGACTCCAGGAAACCACAAGACCTCTAAATTACCAAATCTTCGGACAATGGATATTATGCTGGGACCCGCGCAATTAGTGAGGACGAGCCATCCAAGTAATCAAGTTTCCAAATACTTTGCAATACTTGAGACTTAGCGTCTGGAAAAGTCGCAATACTTTTCTTTTAGTAGTTGTAATCTAATTCTAGATAAGCGTGGTATTCAGATTCCGTTAAAATGAATAGTCAAAGAAGAAAAGTAAGTAGTACAGAACGATGAAAGACGTTAAATGGAAAGTGCTAGAGTTGATCTTACCACCGCCGATACTTTTCACTTTTACTCCTAATTCTTAGTATAAAATTTTTGCTCTTAAGGAATAGCCTTAAAGCCAAGGAAAAAGCAAACCTAAGAACACGTCGCTTTTAAAAATTCCTCGTCTAAACGGCTGCTTCTAGTTGCTGTTTGTTTTTTTCTGAGTTCCTTTATCAAAACTATGTATGTAAAACTTTATTTCCTTGCTAGAAAATGGAATGCTAATAGCACCACTTGAATACAACACTTGGTCCTAAGGGCAGGAATGAGAGGTAATGCGAGCCGTTCTTACTGCCACTACAAACACGGATCTGCAAACTGGAATAGTGGCGCCCAACAGAGTATCACTTCTGTTTGGTGCCAAAAATTGGAAATACAAAAGACACGTCTGCTGTATATCCCAAAATAGTGCAAAGATGGCCAGCTATAAAACTCAAGCATTCACCAAGGGATTGCTTTTACAGGGCTAATATAAATGTCCTACGACTTCCGACTTCAATACTCTTAAAGAAAGCTTGTAAAAGTGACCGTTTGCGCGTTTTTGGGCTCTCGTCGAGCTTTGACAGTATCAGTGTGCTTTCACTTTTATCTACGACCTATTGTTTTTTTTACCTGTAATACGGCATGAAATACAACCATGAAGCTGCTGAGATACGAGCAAACTAGGGTGATCAGCTGGACTTTGAAGCCGTGATTACCTTTACCGGGGTTTCATGTGCTATCCAGCACACCAGTCGATGCTCTTGTCTTTTCTTTTTCTCAAACGGTTTTTTCAAGCCAGCGGTATTACCAGTAATCACCCGTGGATGAGAATGATCTCGTGAGAACAAATCGGCATTGAATCTAGTTAAGCAGAAGGTGCAATCGAGATCACAATGTTTCAACTTTTGTTTACTGTTTATTCTTGTGGTGAGCTGCTCACCTCATTGACACTGAGAACAGTCGGCGGACTGATGAACTGAGGTGGATTGTCATTCACGTCGACCACCTGGATTTCGAGCGTAGCGCGGGATTTTCGTCCATCTTGAAGCACCAGTGAAAAGGACTCTCCTGGCGAACCATCTGTACCAACTTTCTGCGAATACCAACCACTCAGAAGGAAAAACTGACTAATACAAATATGTTAATATATTCTTTTCGTCTAAATGATTTAACGAAATATTTTATTTAAGAGCTACTTAACGCTAATTATGCTGAGATATTTGCAAAACTCCGGACCACTGGTGTCAGCAGTAAGGAGCGAACATGATATCACCCTTTCCGGGGGCTAACACCTTCACCACCAACCATGGGAGTCCTTCGTTTCGCCTTTCCCTCATTTTATTTTATTTTATTTTTCCTCATTATTAGCTTATACTTAACGTTATTTTTTTAAGGTGAACCTAATCACAACTACATAGCACTATGGAATCGTTAAAGTGATGTGGGAAATAGTGTGAAGCAAAGGATCAAAACAGTATTAATAATGCTAAATAACACAAGCAATAATAAGCACAAGCAATACGCTACCCTTCAGATTGTGTACGACAAGCAGTCGGCCTCGTTGAATCCTCAGCGTGATCCTCATCGAGATTCGTACAAATACACTATCGCATGTTAACGAACGAACAACCATCACGCTTGTCCTTCAATGAACCGGTACGGCTAAGCAGCCCGTCCTTGTCGATGATTTAATGGCAAGAGCTCTGTCGGTAACGGTTGAGGACGACGTCTCAGTGGCATTTTAACTTTTCGTTTACAGAAATTCGAGGAATTTTAAGCAGTATCGCGATGAAACTGATGTGAAGTCAAATCTAGTACGAGCGCTGTCGAATGAGATATTTAGCCATCTTAAAAACTGCTTACAACTCGTGAAATGCGGTAGTTAGAGGTGCTCTGCAGTAAACGCGCTGTTGTTGACGCAATTTTGCGTGCAGAGCGAAACAAATCCTTTTCTCCGGAGTCGGAAAATTGGTTCATGTGTAGAGAAGCATGTATTTCAACGCCGAACAATTTGTCCTTTATCCTTTATTACTTGATACTTGATACTTGAATGGCCCGCCCTCATTGATTGTGCGGACTCCAGCACAAACGCCACCCTTCGGAGACCTGCTGGTTAGCCCACTGTGGATCCCTGGAGTCCCGAGGTAAGCCTGGTCAAAGCCTGCCCTAGGTCTTCACCACCACGTGCAGTCGCAGCCCTTGTGAATCTGAGAAAAATTTGCCACCGTGCGACCAGTTTAGCACCAGTACAGTGGTGGATCCTTGTGTCAGCTCAAGCTTAGTTGAGCTTCCTGATGGAAGCGCCGTACTCATTCTCGGCTTGTGAGACGCTGCCAGGGGTTGAATCGCCCGCTCTACATCGTAACTTGGCACTCAGGAGCCATTCCCAGCCACTATGAGGCGGTAAACCGTTGAGAGGTTTATCCCCTGTTAATTGCTGTAATTGGAAATTTGATCGGACTCAGACACATTTGTTACGAGGTGTGTCCTTTCGTAGTTCTTTCTAGATAAGTATTCACCTTATAGCGACGAGAATTACTATCTTTCAGAACTGATGCCGGATCCACTCGCATCCACTGAGGCTACGAGTTAGAACGGATATTGGTTCACTTATTCCTTCTAGAATACCGATGCTAATTGAGCCATGAACGCCCTTTAGTTAATATTTACCTCTAGACAAATAACTGATATTTACTTTCTCATTTCTCAGACAGTAAAATAATGATTGGTCATGTCTGAACTACAAATTCTCCTTCCACCGATACATTACCTTGTAATGCATCTGGAGTCGAATAGCCCATCAATCCAATTTTCATTTCCCGAAACCTCTCAAGCCTATCTTTTAAAATTTAAGAGATTATTCACACTGGTCTTTCCGCTTGAAAACCGAAGGGTGGCGACAGTTTTGATGAAAGGACTGAAAAAACAAACTGAAAACACTGCTAAAACAGCAGTTTAGAAATATCGACTGCTAAAGTTATTAAAGGCTTCTTCTAAGAAGCGATAAGCGAGATCTGTTCCAGTGCACGAATTACCAAGATTTTGTCTACTGAGACGAATTGTGCGATGGTCCGTGCGGAGTTCCCAACCTAAAAATACCATTAACCTAACCAGCGTTGAATGTGAGCGTCGTTAATCAGCGTATTCAAAGTGCGGGAAACTTCATCACGTTATGGTAATCGATGTGTGTTTAGTGGGCATTTCCCTCTTAGGAATTTGGTGCCGACCGACGATGTCGGGCATTTCTATGAGACCTCAAAGCATCGCGTCGAACTGCATTTGATTCGGATAACTGAATATATGTCTTTGTGCAAGTAATTTCCCACCAGTTCCCTATAATGTGGTGTTAAGAGAGGCTCAGATAGAAATGCCATCATTTATTCACGGACAAGTAATAACTGCTAATCGTTAAAATAAACAGTAGAAAGTAGTATATTCTGAGTACTGACCATATTCTTATGGCGCGTGTGGCGCAGTGGACGGAGGCGCCCTGTAACACACACGTTGAATCGACCACCGCGACCATGGCCCAACAAGTCTTCTATCCCTCCGGAATCGGAAAACTGATACCAGACTTATCTGGCAGGATAGGAGCACTGGCTTGAAACATCGGAAGGCAACCGCGAATCATTGTACAGGCCAGATATGCAATCAATCATCCCCAAACGATGCTTAATGAAGTCGAATGCATGGCGCATCCGTCAGGAATTGATCAACGATGAAAACTTTATGCTTCTGTTTTTACTAACCATATTCTTAGTACCAACTCTAAGAAACCGGTTTGAAGTGATCGCATGGTGGTAGCACAACATTAAATATCATTATTGTATCGTGAGATTTGGATATTCGATGGCGTTTGTTTGTAATCGTAGATATACCTGCGCTTCTTCCACTCGAGACGTTCTCTTTCAACAGTTACCCATGAAGGTGGCCCAGCTGGTGCACGAGTTCGACTACGGATTAACAATCCATCGTCTTTTCTCTTCACTGACACGTTGAATACCAATAGATGTTCTTTGCCGGAAGGCCATAATGGCCGTGTTAAAGTGTCGCCCATGTCTTCATGATAGCTAATCATCGTTCCTTGTGAATTTGAAGATATTTGCGGCTGGAGTAACAGCATTCACGAATCAGCCTAGTAACTCTTTTGAACAATGATAAAGTTATAATGCCTTTCTCTTAATTCGAGTCTGTTCTTAGTGGGTTTCTTAGAGTAGGACACACATTTCGGCAAGAGTCTCATCGAAACCATGTCTTTACCCTTCTTTTGCTTTTCACGTGCTTTCTAATGCATAGCACTCACCCTCGAGAGTCTCACCTCGGGAGCGATCGGTTATGCGCACATTATGGCTGCGTGGAGAAACATCTCGGAAACGAGTTTAAGAACAAGAATCGAAATCCGAGTAGTTCTATAAGTGTCGCAAATTGCACCTATCAAAGAGCCTTCGCCACTTTTCCTACCCGTATAAAGAGGTGAGAAGAACGAAATAGTGTCTTCCAGTGGTAGACAGGAAACGGATGTATGGAGAAGATCGGGTTACTATTGTTCGACAAAGATCGTTTCAAAGAAAAAATCAAACTAGCTGCATATATTTAGACTAATTAAGCAATTAATTAGTAAGCGCTCTACTTAAATATTAACATACATCAGTCCTTAGAACTTTTCAAACTGCAAACTCTTAATCAGACTACATAACTCTTCGAATTGAGAGCTGGTGCCCTATTCTCCCACTAATCGCTTGACGCCTTCGTCACCGATGTCGCCATGACGTCTCCATATGGTGACCTCTTCAATTTTTTATGAAAAGGAATTGTTCGTAGAGATGCATTTGTTAACCTATGAAAGGGAATTTCACGACCAAAAAAGCTGAAGGTCAGACATTATGGTCTTCTGGCCGATTTCATGGACATCCAAGTGGAATTTATGGGGTTACAAGCAAGTCATATGTCTTTTTCAGTTCGGGGAAATCAAGTTAGAAGTATTTTATCATCACTGCTACGCTACGGAAAAGATTGGAACCTACAGTTAGATGTAAAATCACAAATAGGTCTGTTAAAAGGTTACATCGGAGGAAATGTCAACATTTTAATGTTCTACTACTTAAACCCATGTTGATAGTTACCTCACCAATTACGTTTGGCACTTATTTTAGGCGAATTGAATATTTTTATAATTTTCCCATCTATAGTTCATCAATGTAATTAATCAACGCTATAGTCATGATCTAAAATGTGATCATCATGACAGGGTTATTCTTAGTTCCATGAAGGCGATATCCCTTAATGGAGGGTTGGAAAAGTAGTACGCGATCGAACAATATATTTGTTCAGAAACAGCTCCAGACTTTCAGAGAGGGGTTGGAAGCGCGACACTAAGAAGCTGCGCCGAGAAGCCATCGTCGGATCTGACGACGGCTGGCTGGCCGACGTCGTCTACCCAACGCTCACAGACTCTACCACGCACAAGTTCGTGTAGCAACCCGACGGCGAGATTCACGTCATCAATGATTCGGAAGATCGCAAGAATACCTACGGTAGTTAACTGTTATGAGCTCACGAATGTCGCCGCCATAACCAAAATAGCTTGGCTTGATGCGATCTTTTTTTTAGAGTTGTTAAGAGTAAAATGTCTTGCGTCAAGTTACTTTAAAGCAAAGCAAACTTGATAATCCAATATATGAGGAAAGACGGTAAAAGTTTAACGAACGATACGATTATCAATTACTGTTGCATATTTTAAAGAACTGCAGAAACAGTGTTATAAGCTACTCGCTCATGATGAGAATGTTACGTGAACGGAAGAAATTTTTGAAAAGTTTTAGTAGGGAACGATGGAACGGAACACCTATGCTGGTAGAGACTTTTCTAGGAAAGGATTACGAGGAAGTGAATGGAAAACGCTAGACAACGAAATGAAAATGCTTTCAATTATCCTCGAAGCTCCAACTATATACTTCCTCACACAAATCCATTCCCCAAACAAAAGTGGAACACGATACGAACAATCAGCACGGCAAACTGTTCATGACAGTCACTGATATGGTGCGCTTCTCCGAAAAGTGATAACATTGTCGGAGTCGAATGCTCTATCGAACCGCTTCAGACAACGGATACAATATACTTCATGAGCAATCCACCATATTGTCACGGTAGTGACTGAAATGGAGGTCACCACAAAACACTTCGTAAGAGCTCACGATAATCTGGACAAGCAAACGAAACATCTAAAGACGTCAAGCTGGAAGCCAAATTTTTTCCATCTAGAGTAAAGCTCGTTAGATATTGTATTAGTTCAGATTTATGGTGTGATGACAACTCTTATTCTTGAGACGCAGTAAAATTCACTCATAGCTCCATTGCGACAAATCAAAAGAATTCGCAATCAGTTCTCCTTCCACTAGACAGTTTCTCATCATATGCAATTCTGTCGGAAACAAGCCCCACTTCGGAAGAGCGATGAGGCTTCCGTGAGAGCAATTACCTGAATAACGAATCAAGGATGAGAGAGCCTGAGAGGCGAGGTGGTTGTGTAAAGCCCTTGGACATTCACTGGAAGGCGGGAAGACACACTTACATTGCGTGGGTGGTGTTGCTCATTGATTAGTTATTTGTATTCAGAACTTTTACACTATCATTCTACAGGGATTAGAGAAGGTTAACATTGCGAACATTTTCAGTTACTAGTCCAAAAATTTGCGCTAGTATGGTAAAACATCAAGTAGCGCAACCAGTGAAGTAAATAAAAGACTATTTTCAAAAAAAAAAAGGTTATCGCCCAACTATTTCAAGCCGCTTTTTTTCATTTATGGACCTATCTGTAAACCTTTTAATGTGAAGGTGTTTCCAACAATCGAGAAAAGAGTCATTCGAGATCCAGCTTATTACTATATGCGGGATAACGTGAGCTCTATAGGAGACATGCGATCGCTGCTCTCAACCTTTAAACCAGCCAGTTTTTAAAGGCGACGATATTTTTTCTCTACTTTGTTGCGGTATGGTTCATATTTTGAGCACAAAAGCAAAAACCAAGCAGGATTTCAACGAGCTAGGCTATATGGTGTTCCACAATGTACCAGTTATACTTGTAACTGGTTTTAAAAGTATAAGCCTCAACATACGTAGCGAAGTCCTTCTCATTTTGTTATTGTCGTTGTAGTTTCTTCTTCAAGTGCCACACTTCAATGCCGATACTGAATCGTGTCGTCAAGCTTCAGTTATGACGTGAACAAAACTACACCCGGATTGACACACTTCTGGCCGTCGACTCCTCCAACTCACCGCATGAGTGAGGATGCGCAAGCCAACCCTGCCTCTTCCGAAGTCCCTCCAATTATACTCGTGGCGATAATTGCTGATCGACAGCATCGCCACGGCTATCAATGACAAATCTTGTCGCGCCATCTCCCCGCAGTACTTCAAAATGTAAGCCATAATCACTGCGTTGCTAGTCTAATGTTCTGTTCTGAGTGCTAGGAAGGAGCACTGTATTGATCATTGTAATTACCTCAACCAACTGCTCGGTCATCCTAGAAGACTTTCGTAAGACAATAAGGACGTTTTTCTCATGAGAAAAGGATATATGGCTTTGTATTTCTTCGAGAAATAACGAAGACCTTACAGAATCTAAAATTGAACCTTGAATCTCGTGTCAAATTACTTGATACACATCACTATTGTCACCAATTATAAAACGAAGTAGGGGAAAGCGATTTACGTTCATGCTACCGATCTGATTAGAGTACTGCTGATTTTTTCACGACTACATCTAGTTTTGAGTGGCCGGCGTTCCGTACCACGCTTAATTTTCAGCCTACCCACTTGCTAGTTTTTTAAAAATTAACGGTAATTTAATACAGCAAGTTAGATTAAATGCAACCTAACTGGCCCGCCTAAGGAGCTCCTGCAAATCTGCCCAGGAAGCCTTTCAGCACCTGAGCGGCAACATCAGCAAAAACCCGTTTGGGTGGCTTATCCACGAACTGGTTCGTAACCTTTTTAACTCGTCATACCGCGTTTTTTCTTGGCACGATCTGTTCATCAATCAGAAAAGACAAACAACTACTGTAGATCTACCCGATCCGTTGTCGAACGATTGGCTGCGATCGGAAACTTCGACAACTGGTTCCAAAATATGACATTAATATGACCAGCAACTCTGTAAGCAGAAAAACCTTCATTGAAGCTAAGAATTCAAATCAAATAGAAGAGGAGGACTTGCTAGAGAGATATTGCATGAAAATAAACAACGATCACTCAATTCTTACGCAAAGTTGCAGAGCGATCAGGAGACCCCAAATAGTCAAAAAAACACAACGGTGCAGCTTTTGAACAGTTTACATAAAAATGACTGTTTTTAAAGCACTTACGATATGGTGTTACCGAAGATTATTCCACTTAAACCTTAAGGTCATAGTTTTTCCATCAAAATTTGCAACTTTATGCAGACTACTGAACGTTGCGACGCTATCCTCATTGATGAAAGTAGATGAGCGTAAAATTTCCACTACTAGTTCTCGTTCAGGTGAACCATCAAAATCGCGTGTTCCGCTTGGGAATTCGTTGAGGTAATGAGTGTTGGCTTGCGCCATAAAACTATTGACTTGGGTCTGTTGGTGAAGATATCAACGCTTCATATTTTGAACGAGAATGTGCTTCTAATCCACTAACTTATTTCACATATAGTTTAACTTATTAGAGAAGTTTGTGAAAAAAGCACTGGTGTATAGAAGCACTTTAAAGCTAAGCCTTACAACAGCCCTGAAAATATTTAAGGTTTATCAAAGATCAAATCACAATCTCAGCGCAAGGTACAGATAGAAAGCAGATTTGGGCAAAAATGTTGAAGTCACTTCAAATCTCTACCCATTCAATTACTATCCGATAAATGTGTGCCTGCGCATTGTTGTCCCTCGCAAAATACCTTCCGTCATCGCTTCTGATGATCAATCTAAAAGAATCTGAACTCCAGCCAAGACCCTCTCTTTCCCATGTGAGAGGGTCATCGCCATCTCAGCTCACATATGTGCCACACATGTCCGAGTTTGTCACAGCCACAAACTCCACTGGAGTAAACGCCTTCTCTTTCGATGGCTGAATGGTTATGCGGAATTCGGTATTAGAAAA